GACCCTCGCGGGCCTCCGTCTTCCTTTGTTCTTGTTGTTCGCTATAGTTCAGACACAAGGCCACGAACGGGACAAAGAGACGAAAGAGAAGAAAAAAACCGCGGACACCCGCGCCAGCTATGGCCAACGCGTTGAAAATGGTGCCCGTGGTGGTGCGTGTTTAACTGCCCGCCGGCGCCTCCTGGTTGCTTACTCTTGTCACCATCTTGGGAACACGGCCCCCCTTTTTTCGCTATCATTTGCGGACGACCCTCGCGGGCCTCCGCTTTGCTTCCTTTGTTCTTGTTGTTCGCTATGGTTCGGACCCAAGGCCACGAACGGGACAAAGAAAGAGAAAAGAAGAAAAAAGCCACGAACACCCGCGCCAGCTGTGGCCAACGCGTTGAAGATGGTGCCCGTGGTGGTGCGTGTTTCACTGCCCGCCGGCGCCTCTTGTTTGCTTGTTCTTACTATGGGAACGGGGCCCCTTTTTTTTCGCTATAATTTGCGGACGACCCTCGCGGGCCTCCGCTTTGCTTTGTTCTTGTTGTTCGCTATGGTCCGGACACGACAAGGCCACGAACGGGACAAAGAGGGAGAAAAGGAGAAAAAAACCGCGAACACCCGCGCCAGCTATGGCCAACGCGTTGAAAATGGTGCCTGTGGTGGTGCGTGTTTAACTGCCCGCCGGCGCCTCCTCGTTGCTTGTTCTCACTATGGGAACGGGGCCCCCTTTTTTTCGCTATAATTTGCGTACGACCCTCGCGGGCCTCCGTTTTGCTTTGTTCTTGTTGTTCGCTATAGTCCGGACACAAGGCCACGAACAGGACAAAGAGACGAAGAGAAGAAAAAAACCGCGGACACCGGTGGCAGTGCTGCCACCTTCCTCTTGTATATAAAATCACCGCGCCCCCGCTCCCTTTTCCCGCGACGCGGAGGGGAGTGCGCGCCCCTCGGGCGCCCGTTTCACCTTGTGAAACCATTCACCCCCACCCACGTCCCTAAAGTATCCTTTTTCCCTCCTTAACGTCTCCCGGGGCACCCGGGCCCGGGGAGTTCAACAACATTTTAATTTTTCTCCACGTCTAAATCTTGATTCGATGTAGTCATTCTTGCGCCATTTACGCTAGTAGACCCACATGTACTAGTTTTCACCCACGCACATCTACAGGACATGGTCTGGCACGTTGCTCTTGACGCTGTTGACATCGTGAATATGACGAAGATGAGCCGCCTTCAGGACTTCCTAGAAACCGACATCGTGCTAGAGTACTGGTCTGCGTTGAACCTTTTTCGACGCGTCTCTCCGATCTTCATTTTTCTCGCGATGCTAGCCCACTCCCAGTCCTTCCCACGTGCCGAGTGGAAATTTGCTAGAAGAAGACTAGATAAGAACACGATTCAGGCTGTGAACGAAGCAGTGATTGGCAGTGAGGCGATGGCAAGGGCACAGAAGAAAAGTGAGGAGGTGCAGAGACAAAACTCTATTAAGCGAAGAGGAAGTAATAGAGGTGGATCAGTGCCGCGGAAGACGTCTTTGGTGAAGTATGATGGGCTAAATCATGATACGAATGCTTCAGATCGTGAACTACAAATAAACGTCGACTATGCTGCCCAAGCCGAACACCTACAACGACCAAAGGAGGGTATGCACAGTGCGTCAAACTCTACCACGACTGATGACGAAGCAGGAGGTCATGACGTGGACGCGTTGTCATCTTCGACAGCATCTTCGCGGAGTGGGAGAAGATCATCTCCAACATCATCTTCTTCACCAAGGAGAGGAAGAAGCAGAAGCAGGCCCCCTCCTCCTGCCTTTACGATAGGCCCCGGAGGGGTGATGATTGGCAATGCACCTGCGACTTCGTCGTCAGGGCGAGGATTTTCTAGGGCGAGGAGACGCGAGAACAGTTTATCTGGTACTCCTTCGATATCGTCCTCAAGTGATCTTCACGAGGACAGCCGGATAGGAGGTCCTCCCAGTAGAACTAGACGAAGACGTCGTCGCAAACCGCCAGATGATCCACGACTACAGGAAGATGATATAATCGATCACAAACTCGTACTCGTTCCCAGGAAGCTCCGCCGCTCCCGTCCCCACGCTCTTCCTGTGCGATCGTCAGGCAGTCTACTGAATTCCGCCTCATCCTCTCATTCCTTTGCAACAACTGGCGAGCATTGGGCGGCAAATCTGGTAGACCTCGCAAATCCTCTCGACCGGTTCGACGCAGATCAAGAGAGTCTGCCATTCACTTCAGCAGATGAATCAGAGGTAGGAAGGCACCAAGAGCCGTCTCCCGCTACTGTAGCTGCAGTGGAAACTGGTTCCCGTCTCGGAACTCAAGCTAGTACTATTAAGGCTCAACTTTCAATGGTCATTGGGGTTGGTCACTGAGATCGAAGAGGCGACCCCTTGAGAGAACAGGGGAAAACGAAGGGAAAGGGGAGAGCTTTGAAGGGGGTCCCTTCCGTTCAGAGTCAGTGACCCTTGATTGCTGCGCTTTAATACTAGTTCCAAAACCAGCAGCACTGGTACAGCCACCGGATCGAGAACAAGAATCAACCAACCTGGCAACATCGAGCAACACCAGGCTCATTTCATCACCATTCCTGACTCTCCACCGTCGTTGGGAGAAGAAGCAAGTTCAATGGGAGGGAGAAGAAGAGGCAGGTCACCGTCCCACTCCTCAACTGGTGAGCCTCCACCCGGTGGAGGGCGATCTTCTACTAGTAATGCTCGTCTAGAGGGACAAGAGCAAGGACCTGCACCTCCAAGTGGCACTTCGAATGGACGCGCTGTGACGACACCTTTTTTTAAGGCTCAACTTTCATTGGTCGTAGAGGTTGGTCACTGAAATCGAAGAGGGTCCCCTTGAGAGAACAGGGGAAAATGAAGGGAAAGGGGAGAGCCTTGGAAGGGGTCTCTTCCGTTCAAAGTCAGTGACCAATGAATGCTGGGCTTCAATTTTTACACGTACAATCAAGCTAGTTCCTACGCAAACATCGGAGCCGAGTTTCATTTGCGAACGCAGCTGGACGTGGTGAGTGCGCGAGAGAGGTCGGCCACGATTTCTCTCTTCTTAGTCGATCTCCCTTTTGGGTTACTCCGCGTCTTTCTCTTCCTCGTCACCTTGCGCTCTCCACAACCCGTCTGGCCGCCGTTAGCGATGAAGAACATCAGCTGCCTGTTTCTCAACATGGTGCAGCTGCGGATGATCGAGCAGAGACGCGGGGAACTAATCGAAATGCTACACGAGACTAACGAATGCGCTGAAGAATACCTTAAGGGTAGGTTAAAGGTGCTTTTCTTACCGCTTTTTATGCCTCTCCTAAGGGAGAAAGGCATAACAAGCGTGGTAAGCGAGCACCAAAAACCTACCTCTAAATACCGCATTCATCGTGCGAGGCTGTGGCACAGGGAAACCCGCGAAGACAGACTCCTAGAAGAACAGCTTGCTGCCACTGATCTCTGGAGCGTGCGTTCGATCACGCTAGGCGTCTTGCGTGTCTTGTGGAATACGACTGGTGGTCGGATATTGAGGAGACGGAGGCTCAGACGAAAAAAAAAGTATCAGGAAGAGGACGAACGCGAGCGTAAACGTGCTCAAGAACATCTTCAAGGAGTACGACAGGTTGTAGACTCAGCAAGATCATTCACTGCCGAAACTACAAGAGATTCTACCGACACAACACACTCTGCTGATATTAAGGATGCAGCCGAGAGAGCAACAAACAACTACAATTCACAGTACTCATCTACTGATCATGATCATGAAGAACATCCTAATTGCAGCCGCGAAACGACTCTCCATGTGCATGATGCGGGAGGAGCTGCGGCACGAAGTGTAGATCTTTCTCCCCCGGGAGCTGGTGGTCTTGGTCTCTCAGCAGACGATGTTGCAATTCGGATTGACGATGCTGCGAGAGCAACGGAGCGTGTTAGGCACGTAACCCTGTCCCCGCTTGCGACTAAGGAACTGCAACGAATGCAGGGCAACGGAAAGCTTAGCCGACCAGCAAGCAAGCTCACTATAGTTAGCGACTTGCCCTGTGAAGGCGATGATGTATTCGACGAAAGTCTCTCGTCTAGCAGTACTTCCTCAATTATAGATGATGAAGACGACGTATTCTCGGATTCACGAGGACTCAGAACATTCTCAACCCTGAAAATGAGCCGTAGGGATAGTAGTATTTTTAAGCGAGGACGAGGAAGTTCCGGGAGAACACTTAGGACGAGACGAGACTCGTCATTCAGAACGAAAGACAGTAATATCAGAGAACAAGACAGTAATATCCTAAAGGGTCAAGAATACGACGAGTACGATGATAAGATGAGCAATGCTGGTGAAACAGTTACAACATTCGCAACTAATGCTACTAGTTCCTTGCAGCCTGAGGACGACTACGATGACAATATCTCTTCGGTTCTCTCTAGTCGATTAGAGGCGGAGTTTACCTCTCGACGCGACCAGCACAGAGAACAGCTGCTGCTGACAGTAATGGAGCAAACGCGGGTCGAAGTGAAACTACGGAGAAATAGCGGTTTGCCGAACTTCTGCCTTGTTTTCTTGATCGGGTTCTTCCTTGGCGCTTTGATTGCGTTTCGGGGTGCGATTTTTTCGGTCTTTCAAGGCGACGAATCTGTTGGAGAAGTGTTCCAAGATGTCGATATCTCCGTGCTCTGGGGCAGCGGCGACGCGGTGACAACGGCTGTGCCGAAGTTATGATGAGTGGTGGTAGTTCTAGTTTTTTACATCGTCAAGAAAATGTCAAAAGGATGACTTTTTCTGACATTTGATGTTAAAAACAACACCTCCCCGCCTCTTCATATCAGAGTGGCACAGCATCTGCTAGCAGCACGACAGACACCACCACGGCTCCGTCCTCATCCTCATCAGCGGAGAGCATATTCGACAGTTTACTTCCCAGATGATCTCAGTTGCGTGCTTTTCTTTTGCCAGCCTTCACCTACGTGCATTTACATTTACATGTTTTCTTTTCCGATTCAAGAACTTGTGCGGTTTTCTTTTCTGGTTCATTATCGCAATTTCTCGCTCTACTAGTACGTTCATTATTGCCAGAGCAGGATGATTGAAGCCGAATTTTGATACTTTTGCTTTTTAGCTTGTTGACAGGCTGCAAACACCTGTGCACTAGGATCATTTTCGTGTTCAAAATATTGGGCTCAGACCCCATGACATCCGAGAGACAAAGAGCGGGAGAGCAAAGTGTTTTGTTGTGCCGCAAGCAGCGTTGGTATTGAGTTTGAGGCCCTTGAAAGAGTTTTCTATTTGGCATGTGATTCCGATTTCATCATTCGAGCAGGTCGTTGGAAACGGATTTTACTGATGAATGATTCTCGCAAAATGGTGTTTGTTTTTTCGCAAGAAGTTAGTTTGTTATCAAAGTAGAGTGGTCCTCAATCATCAAACAGAATTAGTTCGTTAGATGTAGTTTCAAACTTCCGTCGTTTCGTCCTTGTTCTTGTTCAAAATCGGTAAAGGAATCCTCTGAACAAAATGCCCTCGTCTTCGTCTTCTGCGCAACAGGCTGCAGGCGGAGGTGTGCCTGAACAGCAGCATCAGCAGGAAGCGCCTCCACATTCGCAACAGCAACAACAAGCCTCTAACCCGCATGTTCAGCAAGCGCACCACAACGCACATGCTCATCATCAACAAGATTCTGGAGCGAGTCAGGAGCATTCACAAGCGCACAGTCAAGGTCAACAACAACATCCACACCCTAATCATGGTAACGCCCACCAACATCAGCATCAACATCAGCAACAGCCACCTCCAAACGCAGGACCAGGGCCAGAACAGATGAATCAAATTCCGATCCAGAGGCAAGACCCAATGGAAATGTCTCCCATATTTCAATCGCTGATACTCGTCTTGGTGCTCTACGCCACTCATGTGTTTTTGAAACCGGTGCTGACGGGCTTGCGCGACTACTTTCGGCCAGAGAAGAAGGTGGATAAAGAGGCGTTGCGGAGTAGGAGGAATGAGAAGTACTACTCAACAGACACTACAACATACTGTCAGCATTACTGTGACTACATTTTCACTTGACACAAACTATTCGTTATAATTGTGTCATCTGCGTCCTCAGCTCTGTCTTCATCCGTTGTCTTTCTAGTACCAGCACATCACCGATTATATTACCAAAGGTTTTCCGCCAAAGCCGATGCTATCCGAGATGGCTTCGCTGGTGCAGTGGAGTCGGTCTTTCGCGTTGAGGACTTGACTCCCTTTGTCGAGGCTCATTGCCAAGCCTTAAAGCGAATTGGCCTAGGCCTCATCACCGAAGATCCGAATCTGAACAGCTTTCATACACTGGCTGTGCTGTTGGACAACTGCCTGATTAAAGGGTACTTCTTAGAATCTAACTTCTTTGAAAGGAAAATCGTAACAAGAACGTAAAGTCTGTTATAACAGAAACGATCATCTTGATCTTCATTAAGCATATGCAAACCTTACTTCAGCATTTTTTGATATCTTCATGATCCATCGTCAAAAACTACATAAAACACTCAGGATGACCTCATTCCCTGCGAAGAGCGAAGGCCTCCGCAAGCAGCTTCTTCAATTCGAGCATGGTGAGAGGATGCTTAATCTTTGCGCTTTTTACCTCCAAGAGGCACACCAATCTCCCACTACAGCGTCACCTTCTCCAACTACCGCTTCTACGACATCTATCAAAGACAAAGTCGCATCTTTGCAAAACAAGATCAAGCAGGAACAGTCTTTCTACGTCTTCGAAGAGTCTCAAAGACTTCAAGCCCTGACCGCGCGTTGTTGCATCCAGTACTGTCTCGACATCTCCAAGGCTAAAGGAACGAGGCGTTGGCTCCAAGTGGATCCGAAAATCTTGATTCCTGACGATTTATCCGTCGTTCCCCGTGATCTTCTCTTCATGTACTCCCACCCAGCTCGCGTCCTCCAAGAAAACGCTGACAGAACCGCCAAGCCAGCTGGCGACTGGGCTGGTGCAACTGTTGCTGGAGTCGGAGAAAGGGAAAAACAACGCGAAGCAGAGTTTACGGCTGAAGTACAGGAGTACTATCTCCCTGCCGCTGTTGGAGGTGGCAAACTGCATCAGGAAGATGAGGACGACATTCCCGAAGTGGAAAGATTGTCTCAGAAGGAACGAAATTTAGAGAATTCCATACAGGAAAATGTTATGGAGGCGATTCTGTTGGGAGACTATCACTTAGTACAACAACAGCAACAAGAACAACAACAACAACAACAGTATCAAGGTGTTGCAGACGACGATGGAGACGAAAAGTCCATTGAGCAGTTACAAGAAGAAGAGCTACAACATTGCAAGCAGCAAATTCAAACTTCACATTCTCTTTCTACGGATTTCGCGCGTTTGTGGGTACAAAGGAGGCGAGATCGATTCCGGAAGGAGCTGTTTGAATCGCAAAAACTCGCCAAACCATCTCCAAGAGATAGCGATAGTGATGTCGATGCGTGTGGGAATTTATGGCTCACTTTCAATTTCATCGTGTTTCCTATTCCTTTATAGTTTGGTGCTTGGATCATGCTTATATTCAATCATGACGCTTTCTCTTCGAAAGAATGAGATGAAGTAACTGGACTCCTCTAATTAAGCACCCCATAAGCCCCACTTCCGCTGACCGCAAGAAGCGAGACGCAGTAATCAAAGAGCGACAACGACATTTTCAGGCTTTGGCGGATCATAGGTTGATGCCGCCTAACGTCAGAATAGCACACTTCCACTGGGAAGGTGAGATTCCCCATGCCTTTGGACTGCAGTCGTCGCAAGGAGGAAGTAAATCGTCTTCTTCTGGTGCGAATGATAGCAGTAGTTCTGGCAATAAGAATACAGGTCCTCAGCGAAGTGCTGGTGGTCGTGATAGTAAAAAGAACACATCTACTAGTGCAAAGGATAAGGGAAACAACGCAACTGCTGTTAGTACTTTAGCCGGTGCTGGCAGGAGCAAAGCGAATGCTACGCAAGTTGACGTCGCGATGAGACAGATCGCCTTGGAGGCGATTCCTCAGTGGAAATGCTGTCCAGAAGTGTGGGAAGACACGAGAAGCTTGAGGAATTTCTGTCAAATCCTAACAGTTGGCGCAGCATTGGACTACACAAATAACCGTGGATTTGTCTGCTGCGTCATGATACTGGGTAGGAGTTTATCTTCTGGAGATTTTCATCTTCTAGGTGGTCTAGGAACAAACAAGAATCGTGGTCTCCCAGTCTCACTCGGCAGTACAACAAGCAACAAAGGAGTTCCCGTTCCCCGACCCGACGCGACTTCACCACTCGATGATGGCCACGGAATGATGGCGGTTTTCAACGGAGCAAAAATGCTCGCTGGAAGCGAAGACCCCAGTGATGACGACGAAGAGGATGCTGAAGGAGAAGGCAGTGGTGGAAACAAAATCAAAGGCAAGCAAAAAGGGGATAAAAATGGTGAATCTCCTAGCACTACATCTTCTACACCTGGGAAAGCGGCAGCATCGGCTTCTGGAGGATCGGCGTCGACATCCTCCGGGAGCAAGCAAGAACAAGTAGAAGTCGCAGACGCTAGCAAAAAGCAAGAACAAGTAGAAGTCGCAGACGCTAGTAAAACGATTTCAAAACTACAGTACCTTCCTCCAGCTGCTGGGATCTTATCCTGTGAGTATGGGCTAGATCCAGAAGTGCAGAATATAAGGGAAAGACTGGTCACTGGTCGTAGCTTCAAACCCGAGGACAATCCGTACCACTACAAGAACGTCAAGAACAACAGTCCTTGGGCGCAGATGTCGTTTGGTGCGAAGGTCAATGATAAAAACGGCCAAGCAACCATGAGACAGAAGAGTGGATTCTAGATCTTTTCGATTTTTTCGAACGGCAAAGTTCGTCTACTTGGTGCTTCTTGTACACTGAAGAAACTACATCGCCAGATTAATGCATGACCGCCGTGAGCGCGAAATCTTTGTAGAAGACGATAGATAAGATTCTCGCTTGTTGATATCAGCCTCTTTGGCTTTTTCAGTGCAATGAGGTTTGAATTCCAGGTTTGAGAAACAAATGTTGAGGGCTCGTCCAGACATATGCTCTCCTTATGAGATTCTTTTCGCTTCGTGGTTTGTGTTCGTGGAATGAGTCAATGGGCACACGTATCGTTCATGTTTCTCGATCTCCCAGCTTCGACCATAGTACTGACGACGGAGCACTTGCAGCAGTTTGATGTTGGAAGGGGTGATCTTGGTTCTCGTTTGCGTGTTTGTCGCTAGTACTTGATCGAACAAGAGTCGAGTCTTGATCATGAAACAAGAACCGAGGAAGGACAATAACATCATGAGGATGAGTAGAACTGGAAATGGTGTGCTTGGTAGGATTGGAAAAATTCAGTGAAAGTGAAAGTATGAACAGAGAATTTTCAGTGAACGCAAGTATGCGCAGCATACTTGCGCTGATTTGCAAATTCGTATCATGAGTAAGATAAAGTTTGTTCGCCTGCACAGATCCAAGTATGAACAGATGACCGGTCTTCAACGACTCAGGCAAGGGAGTGCTATTCTTTGCTGTGACTCTGGCGGCTGATACGAATCTGCACACCCTTGCATTTGCCCTATCTTCCGGTCGCAGTTTGAAGACCAAGCATTTCCGAAAGAATGCCGTACTCGTACCAGCATTATCTGGAGGCAGCGCTCCAACTAACAGGAACTAGCAGGTTCCGTAGACGAACATCGGTGTCAACAACCTCGTTTGCAGATAACGATGCTGCTACACCCGCCCAACCCGTAGGCCCCGATGATGACCCGCAGAACGATCCTTCAATATCTCCCTACTCTGGCGCCGACGCACCAATCTCTGGCCCGCCTGAGCGAGACGAGGGCAGCGCCAATTTCTTCCAGCCTGCACCGACAGGGGACGAAGCAACAGCCGAGGAGCGACGGAACCGTGTTAGAAACATGAGAGCTATAAAACAAAAAGTCGATGGGGCTGGCCAACTGATGACGAAAGACGGGATGAAACGGGCTGCGTACGATATGACCAGAAAAGGCATGGAGCAGGCCAAGAAAGTGACTGCGGACAAGATAGCTAACGGGTTTGCAACAGCACAGAGAGTAGTCGTCGACACTGCGACAACATCGTATAAGTATGCAAAAGATGAAGCAGAAACGCAAATTGACCAAACGAAAAAACTCTTCAGCGGGAAAATAAAGTTCGAGGCGCCGAAAGTGGAAGATTTGGTAGTTTTAGCTTTCCGTTTTAAATTTTTTTTGATACCACAATCTCATCGTCATCACACACACACAAACTCATTGTCCGCCTAATCGTCCTAATTCATCCCTCCGACAAATCTATATCTAACCCCCCAAAAAACTTCTCCCAGGCCAGCAAAGAGGGTGCTGCCAAAGCTATTGGTCAATACGCAGCGAGTGCCTTGGCCGCCAAGGCTTTGTCGAGGGTTGATGGGAATAGTTACGACGCAAACTGGGCAGCTTCTTGGGATTCCACTTTCGGAGGAACTACAGTCTCCACCGCAAGTCCAAATTCCCTCTTCATGCATCACAATCGGGATGACGGTGAATGGACGGAGAATAACCCGGATGCGACCATGCCAGGGACGAAGGGGACCGATATTTCTACGCCAATACGAATCTCCATCACAGCTGAATCGCCGTATCAGCCACAAGATTTGCCTTTGGTAGCCATTAAGATGTTCCAGCCGAAGAGTGGGAAACCAACAGGGGTTCTGAAAATCACAAGTCCAGATGTACACACTTTTTTAGTACCGGAGATGACTTTTTTGTAATACACGGGACGACGGAGGCTCGTCGAAGGTGGTAAAAACCTCCGACGTGTTGAAGAAACCAGTCTCGAAGAGACCATGGATCGAAGCAAGACATGTGATTCCTTTTGTAAAGATGGCACGACCCAGAACAATGCCACCAAGCGAACGCGATTGGCTCTGTGTTCGGATTTTCGCGATTACGAGAACATCCCACTTCATTCTACCTCTCTAAAGAAAGGATACGTGAAATAACTACTCACTGAAAAAAACCTGCTGTTTTTGATGAAAACAATCAAAAAATGAGTAGATCTTCTGAGCATGCTGGCTGCGTAGTGCGTTACACGTCGTAATGATCAGAGTATTTAGAAGATCCTTCCACTTCGACTGAATTAAGCTGCTTAGTAATTCCAAAAAAGAAATGGCCTCCTCATCGTCTTCTTTTGCTCACCAGCAGCACCACGCCGCTCAAATTGCCGACGCGGGTAACGCCTCAGAGGAGAATCGCCTAGACCTTCTTTTCGAGCTCTCCTCACTCCTCAACACTGGCCTGGACCGAGAAACTCTGGAGATTCTCTCCAACCTATGTGAATTAGGCGTCAATCCGACAGCACTAGCAGAAGTAGTCTCCCAGTTGCGGAGCGAAAGTTTGAGGCTGGAAAAAGAAGTGCTGGATAATCAGAAGAAGGGACTAAAATGAATGATTGTTATCAGAGAAATTTGCTCGAATCGTGATCGTCGACCTCGAGGAAGAAGCCCCCTTTCTTTGGAGTTATACTAGCATCAACAGGTTGTATTCGCGGCTTTCACAGTCGTTGTTGATTCCACTTCGAAGATGTTCGCATTTGTATCCGTGGCCGGGTCATTTCCTTCACATGGCTATCGGTCGACGTTGCCTGTATAAGGTCACTCTAGTTCTATCTGAAGTCGACTCTTCGAGGAATAGTCTAAAAAAGGATAGCGATTTAGAGATCTCGACAACTATCAACAGTAAGTATTGCCCCAGCCCACACAGACATCGAAAAACTAGCATGAAATCCCATGAAAGAGAGACGAAAATAGAAATGTTCCGGCACGGACCCGGAGAGCGGGTCAAAAGAATTTGAAACCTTGAAGGTAACGAAAACATGTCGTGTCAGAGCATTCGTGCTTGCGCTGCCGACCCTATCGGGTACTGGTTCCCGGAGTGGTCCTCTGCAGCCAAACGAGCCGAGTCACCAGTTAGATGGACTCTGAACGCTCCTGCCGATGTGGAGAGATTAGTGACTGATTGGGAGACGTACTTCTTCGACTTTTAACAAGTATATTTGAAATTGTTCAAGGGTTTCAGTCGCTGCAATAGCTTGATATGTCAACGTTCTCATGGACGGTGGACGTGGACCTACAAATCTAGTGTCGTGGTCTACAAAACTTCAACCCCAAAAATCCATCCCTAACCACAAAAAGGTACCTCGAATCACGCGCTCTGGACTCCATGCATCCCGATATGATCCGCTCACTACTAGAACAGATAGCGACGAAGATAGATCGGGGGTCTCCGGATCCGGTCTTAGACGACGGCTGCTGCATATGGCACGGCTCCTTTTTCGAAGGACATCCGGTGATCCACATGAAGAAGCCAGGGAAGGATGATGGTACTTTTGTGGGGACTTGATCTCTTTCTGCTTGAGGGACAGCTACGGAAGTAGTCAGCGGTAGGTACGACGATACTGATAAGAAGATTTTTATCCTAGTGGTCGTGATAGCAGAGTGAAAATCAATTCTGTCAAAAGCATATCTTGACCACTGGGATCATAAAACAACATCAATCAACTACCTCCACATACTCAGGCACCTCAGCAAGCACCCGCAGCTTCGCAGCAGCTTCCTCAGACGACAACGTCCAGCCCACATACGTGAATCGCATTCTGGCTTTCTTTTTCGCCAATGACAGCCGTTTCAGTGCACTCCACTCGATGCCGAAGACTGCCTTTCCAATGTGCTGTGGGCGCAAAGACTGCATCTCCTTCAAGCACATATGGGATCCACGTGCGACGTCAGGCATGTTGTCTTCGACAGTCGGTAGTAGGAAAGGAGAGGAGGTGGATGGTAGAGAAACAACAGGTGCCCAGCAACATGCCGAAAGTAGTAGCACTAGACGGAAGAGCAACTACAATACGTCTAGAAGTCCTGAAAAACAGCAGCACCAGCAGATGAAAGCATCCTATTCGCCAGGAGGCAGGCCATCAACCTATCAAAGCCGTGACCAACATTTTTCAGGAGGAGGTGGGCGCACATCTTCAATGCATCTATCCTCAGGTGCCGCTACACGTGGCTACAGTGCATCTAGTAGAGCAGCGCCGGTTCTACTGCACAATCAAAACTACAACTACAGTACCCATGCAGCACATATGCGAAGTCGGAGCCCCGCATTGTTCTACTCGGAAAACAATCAGAGCGACCAGGAAGTAGCGGACACTTCACATCATGGAGACCAGAACTACGATGAAATATGGGAAGAGGATCAAGGGGTAGAACAAGATCAACGTCATTCGTCTAGCACTCGCAGAAATGAGCCCTCCAGCACGTCTAAAAGCAGAAGGAGTAGTACAAGAAGTTCTGCTAGTCGGGCTCAGGGGACGTCTAAAAGCAGAAGGAGTAGTACAAGAAGTTCTGCTAGTCGGGCTCAGGGGCGTGAGGAGCGATCAAGCAGAGGAAGGCGATGAGTAGTTTCTTTGGTGAACCTTTTTTGAAATTAACGAACAATAACTTCTTCCGAGAAGCAAGCACGACTAGACATCATAATAATAGTATCCACACTTTAGCACGGTACGTAGAATCAAACTGTCTTCATATTGCCAAGGTATCATAGCACATTGAGGAGGACTTTCATCAGTCACAGTGTCAGTCTCAAGTAGTAATCATAGTGAGAATCACATAGAAAAAGAACTAGAAGTACAAGTAGTTCGTCACGTTTATGCAATGCATAGTAATGTAATGATAGATAATGCAGAGAGTGTGCACATTAGCATTGGATGTAATCAAGTGTAAAACAAAGTTGACAAGTAAGTCGAACAATCAAACTGAAAAAATAATTGTTGTCACCGCAGTACAAACAATAAAGTCTTCGCGCGATGGTGATGCAAATGTATGTGTCGTTGTCAAGCACCACACAGTCACAAAATCACGATGTGGTTATCGACGTCACCTGCAGGCATTATGGGTTACCCCGTTGCCATTCGGTTGGAGCTTCTGGACAGCGCAGAAGCCGACTTCGAAAACCTGTGATCGCTCTTGGTTGCAGCTCGTTTTCGGCTTGATAAAGTCGTCTCGCACATAATAAAAATACGATTCATGATCGTTGGGTGTTGCTTAAATCATGTTTATTTCTCATTCTCTCGTGTACTGGGAAAGGCTAAATATGATCTTCACCTTTTTCATGATACATTGAACGAAGCGCTTTTAGATCATGCAATGAAGTCCTCAGTGGTTGACGAGAATATATCAGAAGATCATGGTCTACTTATCAAGGCATTGCTAGCCGCAAACACAAAAATGGATTTTCTCTGTCGACCTCCTCCACGTGTGAGGATCAAGCCTGTGCGGTCTCACTCGCTGCCGCATCCTCCAGTGGTCGTGTCCTTTCTCGATATTGACGCCGCCCGACATCGTCACCATCGTCAATATCGGCACCATGATCGATCCTTCTTTCCAACCTTCTTTGATGAGGTGGAAGGCGGAGATCGTGATGATGCAGGAGAGGGAGGAAAAGACGATGCTGGTGGCCACGATCTTCTTGCAGAAGCAATCGCCGCATACGGCAACGAGGAAGACGAAAACAAGGATGACTTTCAAAGACCGGGACAACTACCGCCAAGACCTATCTCCTATGCGTCTGCGCTTTCGAGAGTGACGCATCATTTGCCAACCACATGTCAACAGAGAGGGAAAGCAAATAATGTTTGCGATGTCATGGGCCAGACAATCGAAAAACATTATAAGAGACCGGCAGAGGACTTCTATTTTCTTGGTATCTACTTTATAACTTTAACTTCGTTTTACTTTCATCTAGGCTCGCTTAGGGTTGCGATAGTCTTCTTTCTGCTCTGATCAGTATCCGCTTAAGCATTCACTTACATCATGAATTCCTCATTTACAAACCACATTCCCTACCACAGTTATGACCCTCGTCATCCAACCACGCAGGCGCCCGACCCGGTGAATACGGCCGTCCACCGATGATAGCGCCAGCCGTCGCAGGTAGTCCCAGCGCAGCGGTTGTCCCACTGCCTGGCGCCTTCGATCCCAGTATGCAACTACAATCGGCAGGAGCCTTCGCAGCAGAGTCTAAACGTGCCGCACTTTACGCTAACGAAATGTTAAACTTGGGAAAACACATGTACAAGATATATTTGACCAAATTGGGTCAAAATTTTCGGCACTGGAAACCACGGATTAGTGCGACGATTGGAGCGGATAGTTTTCCGCTTTACTAGTTGCCAACATCTTCGCTACTGCCCAACGAACATCGTCTTCGAAGAGCAATTGATGCTACTCAGCAAAATCGAAGAACGAGTACCAGCAAAAGATGCGACACCGACGGCGAACTCGTTTTGCCGTGCCAATTCGCGCTACCACCGAGACCGACACACGCGAGAATTTGGCGACGACGCTGAATCTAAAAATAGAGCTCAAGGCTTGAGCCCGAGTGAGAACAGAGATCATCAATGTCTGTGCAGAGAAGAATGGATAGCGCCGCGATGTCTGCTAAGCACCGCTGGCGCTGGGCACGTCAACAAGACAAACTATGGGTTAAGATGTGAGAAGTAAGGATCTAGAGCACTACGTTTCGCTTCTTTTCACACGACACACCGATTGATGACCAGAAAGACAGAAACATTGGAACTCATATTTGTACTACGACCAGGACATCGTCATGACAGCCTGCACAGAAAATTTTGTAGCTATAGTACCAACAAGTTCCACTGACTCGGGTGGTTTTTAGCATTGCACTGCAGGATTCGGGTTCTACCCGCCACTGCACTCACCGTTTAAAAGGGTGGCTTCTACCTCAGGATATCTGCTGACACTCTCACAGTAAGAGAACAAAAAATCGGTCAATCTCAATACGAGGCGTCGCATGTTTGTTACAGCATAGTAGGTGCTGCTTGAGGGTGCATACTTGTGCTGTTTCTGCCGATGCCCTACATGAAGAAAAAGGTGTGACTAGCAGAACATTTTTCGAAACAGCCTGAACACCATACAATTGAGCACAACTTTTAGCACGGAGTAAAGCCCTGCACCAATATTTAATGTTCAAGCATAATATCAAGATGCCGCATACAATTACAATACTACCTGTAGCAAAAAAGGTCTGAAAGAAAATAAATTTTTGAATCGATTTATGATAGCTCTCTAACTCTAACTGTAGCAATTATGATTAAGTTAGTTTCACTTTCACTTTGTTCATCATCGTAAATCAACAACATGCTTGTTCATTAAGGCTCATCTACGTCTACCTATCAGTGTCATATCTTTATCAATCACGTCTAAAAATGGACGCTGCTAGTCAATACCGTGCCTTTGCCCAACCCCAAGCACGCCCGGGGGTCCCTGGGTACGCGGCTGGTCCTTTTGTATGTGGTGGACAGCAGTTGTTTGCCCATGGCATGATTCCCGGTGGGCAGCAGATTCCGATGATCGATCCTGCTTCTGCGGGTGTTTATGGATATGGTGATGACATACTAAATCAAATCCTGTACTACATGGAATTATGAGCTGCTAAGAATATAGACATTTTTCTAATTATCGCTGGGCGGAGGTGCTATTCATCCCGGAGGACTGCCTACCACACTAGCAGCTGGAGCAGCGGGTCTACTCGCTGCATGTCCCTTGGTTGCCGGGGCAGGTGGCTTTCTCGATCCTGGCTTGCTCGGCTTGGGTTCCGCCTACGGTGTGAGCCCGTACCTTTTGCAAGCTGGCGGTGGCATAATGTTAGGAGCCCACGGTGGACTGGCAGGTAGCGCAGGATACGTTTATCCTTCGGCGAGTCATGTTTCTCCAAACGGAATGCTAATCGCAGCAGGCACGACTACTTCTACTGCCGCTCCAGATTATTTTGGAAGTGGATTTTTACAAATTTCTGCGAACAATTCTCAGTACCTCCTTCAAGAGACTGCTTCTACACCTGAGCATACCCCCGCGACTGGGGCAAAACAAGAAATAACAGAGCAACAACATCGTGAACATCTAGCTACAACTCTTAACAATTTACTCGCTGCAACTCCAACTGCTGCTGCTGCGATGAAGAAAGAAAGCACAACTTCCACCACCACGATCAAAACGGAAGATCCTACGGCCATCTTCAATAAAGAGAAATATGCTTTCGCAGAGCTGGCAAAATTCGCATCGAAGAAAGAAGAAACAGGAGCAGACAAGGATATCAAAAGCAGTACAACAACATCAACTGTGGTCAACATCGAAATTGAAGAATCTATGATTGCCCCTGCTCAAGATAAGAACGACAAGGAAACGAGTATCGCAGCTATTGACCTCACACCAAAAACTCCGAAGAAAGACACATCAGAACTTGAGATCAAAAAAGCAGAAATTATCAAGACGTCTCCTTCATCTATCGACATCAAGACTCCGGTAAGTCCAACTTCTACACATAGACACTTTGCACCGAATAAAAAGCAAGCAAATATTAGTCAAGACAACACAACTACGAGTTGTACTTCAAAGAAAGAAAAGAGCGAATTGTTACAGTCAGCTGTCGAAAAGGATATCAAGATAAAGAAAGGGGAAGAAGCTAAGAAAAGAGAGGAAGAAGAAACTAAGAAAAAAGCCAAAGCTGGTGAAGCTAGTCCTACAGGAGCTGCTATTGAAGTTGAGGAACAAGAGCAAGACGACCAAGAACTCGAATTTGCAGATGCTGCTGAGTTTGTGTCGACTTCAAAATCGACATTTGCCGAAGGAGCAGCTTATGCGAAGCCGTTTGTTCCTGCTAGTATTCCGATTCCCATTCCCTCTGCTGTTACAGTTGATACCAACTATGGATATAGTGCAGCTGCCGCTGATGGAGCAGGTGCTGCAGGTGTGCATTTACCGGCACTTGCTGGTGGAGGTCTGGTGGCTTGTCAAGGAGCGATGGGTATAGATTCTGGCTGTCAATCACTGACCTAGTACCATCATAGATAGTTCTGCCGAAGGCTCAGAAAAAAGATTTAATGGTGATGATCTCCACGGCAGTACACGGATGATTCAAGAAATGTAGGCCATGCCGATCATGAGTATGATACTTCGTCATTCGTTCGCGTAACTTCCATAGTTCCAGAGATCAAGATTCTTCCGATGATCAGGTACACCGCTCATAATCAGTGCTGCTCCCGGGGGCGTGCCCACTGTTATTCCGGCAGGGGCAACCACTGCTCTAATGCCGGCTGCGCCGTTAGGTGCGGCCCCGCTGGCCGCTTACTCAGCTGGAGCACTGATCAGTCCTGGACAGTTGGCTGCTGTTGCGGCTAGTGGTGACAGCAGTCTCACAGAAGCTCTTCTGGCCCAGTACCAACTGCAGCAACAAGCTCAGGTATTCCTTTGTGTAACAACGATTACTCATGCCTGACACATCGGTTTACACGGTTCTACTCAAACCCAATTCGTCCCAGCAGGTGCGGCTTGGCCGCGAAGCAGTGGACCCTCAACCTTAACCTTAACGACTACGACAATCCCTAGTTCTATCCTGTAGTATTCACGTGCGCAGCCTTACAAATTATTTACGGCTTCCAACAATTATAAAATATAAATATTTTTTATCTTCTCTGTTTCTCCGCAAATCTTCAGCTCTCTCGTTTACGCGCGATCTCTCAGCTGACGATGAATACACTGGAGCAAGCGAGGGAATTAAGACAGTTTTCTGCCGCCCTAGAAGCTAGAAGAGTGTCTCTACGTCAACCTGAAGCTTTTATTAACGGAGACCTGCATGTGCCTGCTCAGAATCAACATGCCAACAGCGCGACCACGAGCACTAGTACTAGTTTTTACGACATCGTAAGCGGTACGGCAGCCTCCAAGACTGGTGGCCTTGACGCAATGCGGAACAACACAAACAACTCAAGCAGTGAGACCAGCTTCAAGAAGGACAACTACACAAAGGACTACACGAACACGTCTAACCCGATGAGAAAGAGAAAGGACTACACGATCGCTGCTCAAAAGGCAGAGGCTGAAGCACGTGGTAGAACTAGTACTCGTCATCCCACTTATCAACGTTCAACATCAAAACAAGCTTCTGATGACTCGCAGTTCCATCACATGCGCAAGAATCCGTATATAGATTTTTTTCTCGATTCCCCCGAAGATACACAGAAGCCCAAGGGCGGCATACAAACTCCAAGGGCATACAACACGCACGACCACGGAGGAAGTGGAGCAAGACCGGCACCTCCTGGGCTTGAATATCAACATTTACTGCAAGGAAACCTTCCGCGATTCCTTCCCTCAACGACTACGACATCTAAGTCTTCTTCTCAGAAACAGGCTCAACAAGCCAACCGCAGCACCGCGATACGCAGTGCGCGCTTCTCTCATGCTACAACGGCTAAAGTGCACCCTTCAACAACCACGTTTGCTTCTACATCTACTGCATATCAACAGAACAATCTACTCGACATAGTAGAAGGAAAACCGAAAAAAGACCAGACAACAACTACATCAAGCAATTTGAATCCTGGTAGCAAAAACGTAGCTGCCCCTACTCCACCTCCCGCGAAGGCTCTATTTCCGCCTGTGCCAGGGTGTGCTAATCACTTTGCTGCCGAGCTGTCGTTCGCTAATCAATTCGTTGATTTCGTAGAGCACTATGATCGCGTTTCGAAGTCGAATTTCGCGAAAAAAATCGAGCGACCTTGTGCGACACCGCCGAAATTGGCATCTTCGACTTTTGCTTTTCCACTGGTAACATCGAAAACGACGTCGACATCGAACTCGAAGACCACAGAAGTAGTAATTGAGGAAAACGCAACCCACATAGCTGCAACCTCTTCGAGCTGTCAGGCAACCTCTTCTGGCAAAGAATCTACATCTTCCAATCTCAAGGCCACCACCCCTACCACAAGAACCAACACTTCGAGCAGAGGAGCCACCACCTCTTCTACCTTGAACAAACACAAAAAACTAGAAGACCTCATAGAGGAGGAAAGCTTTGTTTTTGATGAGAAAGAAGAACTTCTTCGAAAAACAGCAGATTTGCACTTGAAGAACACTGCTACGATGTCAACGCCGAGCCTGCTGATGACAGGCGACTTCGCCTCCCCTCTACATTCTTCGCCAGGAGATAACATATTGGATTCTGCCACTCTAGGGGATGATTTTGAAGACGCGGATCAACTCATGCAGAGTGCTAAAGAGGGCGCTGAAGATGTGACTGTGAAGAACAACAACAAGGCTGATGTTGCCTCTAGCTCTAGATCTAGTTGTGCGACTTCTACAACCACTGATGTTGTTGGAGAAGCGGCCACGTGCACGTCTACGAAGCACCAGGACAAGTCTGCATCTTCCACTGCTGAACAATCTGAACCTCTTGACAAAGCAACAAGCAAGCAAAGGCGTGCGAGTCTCCTTGCCGCAAGCTTGAATCTGCAAAGTCCTACTGCAGACGATGATGCTTTTCCGCCTAAGGAACAAGCTGGCCGTGAAGAGGACCACGAAAATCAGGATGCTGGCGCACTTCCCTTGACTTTGTACTTACGACTAGCGACTAGAACTCCTCTCATTTTTTGCTTTTTATCATTTCGAATGAGATGTAAGAGACAGACCGATAGATCGTTTTCGTTTTCTTTGAGTTTGATGTATCTCCTCATCTAATTTGATCTCCATCACTCAACGACGAGACCAACAATATTGCAGAGGCTGGTGAGCACGACGATCGACTTTCTAGCCCAACTGCAGGAACAGCTAAAGAGGAACAAGATGTTTCTTCTCCTAGAAATAACAAAAATACCACTTCTAGTGCTTCATGTAGTACAACCGCTGCCAGCACAACCCGCAGTCCTCCGATCATCACAACCTTGCTCTTCGATCCTTCTGCGTTGAGTGGGCCTCTGGGTCAAGATGGTCACGTAACTCTGGTAGCCGAAATCGAACTGTTTCAAAACTGCTTACTCCAACTTCACCATGAGCGCTGCTTGCCTACCGAAAGGGTGTTGCGTCAGAAAGTCCCCGCGTCGATATCAGCCATCACCTTCATCCGCATGTACAACTTGTTGCCGGAATACTGTGTGCAGAAGATCGGGTTGTGGGCCGGTTCATCGACTGCTACGAGTGGAGGTGCTACGGCGGGTGGAAGTAATGAAGGAGGAGGCGCAAATAATGGCGGCGATGGGGACGACACGTATGAGGAAGTAGCAGGAAAACCGCGTTTGGTTGTAACTTTTCGTCGTACGTTGAAGGAGTTTGAAGGCAAAGGGTGGATTTTTTGTGACGGCCTCAGCGAGAAAGACACACTAGATGCTGGCCTGAACGACGTACGTGCGATCACCTCTACTAGTGCCGTGAACAAGTCTCTACTTTGCCGTGCTTGGGCGAATTTGTCAATGAAAATGACCAACAAGAAAGAACTAGTAGTTGTAGAAGAGGAAGAGAAAAACAACGTGTCTGCGGCTAAACAAGCAGAAGATGGATCCGATCGAGGCCAGCATGGGCATGGTGAAGCAACTGCAGTGACGGAGACTTTGCCTTCTATTGGGGAACAAGCTGAAGTAGGCCAAGAGTCTTCTAAAACGTCTGCAACCACAACTACAAACCCCAACACCAGCGATAAAAAGATTTCTTGTTCAGCCCTAAGTTACGCCTGGTTACTGCGTGAAGATGGCCTCTACAGCACCGCCAGACTGCTGGTCGAGATGGAACCAAGCCTGTTACCTGACGACAAAAGTGACGAAGTAACCCTTGGACACATCTGTCTTGCACTACAGGAGCTTGCGAAAGAAAGAAAAATTGCCTTTCGACGGCCTTCTACGACATGTAGTGTTAAGAGGACCACTAGACTCTTAATTCATCTTTGAGAGCATCCCTGAAAAGTATTCTCGTCCTCGCGATACTACACTTCAAGAATGCACAGCAAAGATGAATTTCGGACACCCCTAATGTTGACCCAAAAGGTGCCGTTCATTGGGTACTAGAAAGCGACGTCTTGGAAGACGAGTTGGTGTCCGAGAAGGAAGCGGATGAACACCGAACTGGAGGCCCACCATCAGCAGGTGGAGGAGCTGGATCTTCTGGAGGCACTAGCACAAGACCACTCACGACCACGAGAAAAGATTATACAAAGTCCTCGACGTCCGAAAGACCGGAAACAAAAATTAACACCTGCCATAACAACAAGAACAGCAACAAGAACTACACTAGGAGTCACAACGAAGAACAAGATCGTGGACGGTATTGGAACTACGCGAGAGACAGTTGTGGAAGTAGAAGCTATTATGATCACAAAACAGGCATCTGGAGACGGGAGGATGATTACCATGACAGTTATGACGGAGATCATGGAGATGGACACTACTACTATAGAAGCCAACATTATGGAGGTAGAGGTGGCGGCTCCGATTTCTATTCGTATTCGTCCATGTACAACTATAACCTCCGAACTAGAGATGATCATACTTCAGGTCGTGGAGATGACTTCTACTACCAAGGAAGATACTCCTACGAAGATTTCGATTCTTACGACTCCTACGAATACGACTACTACAACTACAAGAACAACATCAACCGTCGGCACTCGGACGAGGATGAACCTGCGTACTACAACAATCGTGACTACTCTTCCCAGTTTAATATGGAAGTCTCATCGACGACGTCTAAAAAGTTTGATACAACTTCTGTTAAGGCGAAGAATATATGTGTCAGTGCTTGAGTAGTGTTTCAGTAGAGCTAGAGTGGAAGAAAGGAAAATGCAAGTATTCTCATGCTGTTAGTAGAAAGATATCGTGCACCTAGCAATGCAGTTCTTCTACATAATGCTGACTAAAATAAAACAACCGGTTAGTTTTTACCTCTATACATAGGCTTAGCCCTTCAAACGATACATAATGCTGATGCACAGGCATACTAATCATCTCTAACTACATTAAAAGAGCAGGAGCTCCTTCTCGCACTTCTACCGACGTGGCGCAGCTGAGCACAAAAGAACGATACATCGAAGACGCACTTGTTTCTTCTTTAGAACAGTTGTTGAACCGTTACCCTGCTGGCCTGTCACTCGACGTAGTCGCATCGAAATTGTGGGATCACTGTGGTTTGGATCTACATGGATTGTTTGCGAAATTTAAGGTATAAGTAAATTTTCTGAAGATTTTTGAGTAAGTAGACTAGTACTAGGAGAATATGCATTTACTTGTTACAACTGTTACTCCTTGGAAATCTAAATGACATTTAACGTATCTCGACGACCCTTCTTCTAACACCCTCGGCCTCCTCGAAGGAAGCAAGATGCAACCTGGGCAGAGCGCGGAACGACGTGTCTCGATCGAGCTCATACAGATGTTACAGAACTCGAGAGAACTCGCATTTATTTGCGAAGTCGTCAGCAAGTCTGACTCTTTTTGGATTCAACCGACACCTAGACGCAAGAAAATGGCGATGGTGGTTCAGTAATGGGTGACTGGTAGAGGTTGATGAAATGCTGGTAAATATGTTGTGTGGCGAGTACAATGATTCCTATCAGATAGGAACAATATTACAATGATATTTCTGAAACTTTTTGTACTGGTCGTTTGAAGAAGAGTAGTAAGCATATTAGTATTGCAGTAAATTAATTCACTTGATGATGTACATGTAGTTTTCGTTTTCTGTTGCAGCAGAGATTGATCCTTTTATTTTGATCATGAAAGAAAAAGGGTAATAATACATGCGAAGACCTTGATTTTTTCTCCGATGAATAAGTAAACTCGTACTTGATGTTGAGCAGAGTTTCCGGATCTTTAGTTTTACTACATCGACCTTTTTTACGGACAACAGCACCCTGCTTCTATCTAGTTGGTTCAACTAAGTTGCTTACATATTTTCACAGGCGGAGGTGGTAGTCAAAAAAGATTCTTCTTCATCAGGCTCATGCGTCCTTTTTTGATTCAGATTTTCGAGTGTGCTGTAGCTCTACTACTAGAACAACGACTGCTCATCTGCTATACAATAATTGATTGTGTAGAAACGTCTCCAAAGTGAAACTTTTCTATGCTTTCCTATTTTCCTAGAAATTCAAATTCTATAATTCATCAAAATGCTAACCATAAATTTTCAATTTATTTTGCCTTTATTTGAATTCACTAACAGGAACTTCATCTACGTACATTGGTTCTCCTGACAGGAGAGTGAAAGAATCACATAGCATCCTAGATGAGAAAATTCAGAAAGATAAACACCTTTAACGACATCCACCTCTTGGGTGGGCGGCCACCACATCAGGAAAGACTCAACCGGAAGAAACGCCAACGTAATTTGAATTCATGTCCAAATTTTATGTGCTTCATCAATGTAACAGGGACGACAGATTACAGAAACAGCCTCCTTTGTTTCATGCTCTACGTGCCTGCCTCCTCAGGTGCATACACGCTGGCGTTGATGGTCTCTGAGAACCTCTCACAGTATTGTTTCATCACAACGACACACATCGTGATCGTGTGCGAGCGAGTGGAGAGAACCGCGAGCGCATATTGGAGTGGGCTACGACGTCTTGCCATGGTTGATTTTATTCTAGTTTCATCTCCTGTTATCACCTACCAATACCATCAAAGAAGTTTCATTACCACGACACACGCAAGAGAACATCATGGTAAACGAGGTCGTTTGCTTGCATCTAGGGCAAGCTGGTTGCCAAATCGGGACTGAGCTGTGGGAACAGTTCTGCGTAGAGCACAACATCAAGTTCAAGGGGGTCAAAGACCCGACTGAACAGGCGTCGAGCGGAAGTAGCAACACCTTCTTCGCTGAGAAGCGAAATGGCCAGTATGTGCCACGTGCAGTGTTCATGGATACGGACCCGAGCTATGTGGACGCATTGCATAAGAGCAAGGTGAGGGACTTGTTCGCGCCGGATAATTATGGCCATAATCCACTAACACTAAGGCTTACGCTTTGTACTTGTATGTGTGTCCTCCCACTAAGTATTTCATTTTGTACGTAATATTTTTTTGGTGTGATCGTTCGAAGTCACATTCTCATTCAATAGGTTTACGCGGCATTCACAACCGGGCTTAAGAATGCCTTCTAATCTCCCATCCTCGCTTACAAGCAAGACTGTCGAGGGAATTTCTTTGAAGCCAGAACGCAGGCTAGCGAGTACAAAATCTTAGCAGAATTGACGGACCGGATACGGAAAACGGCTGACGCTTGTGAAGCCGTACAAGGCTTCTTTTTGTTTCACGGTATAGGCGGTGGCACAGGAAGTGGAATCGGAGCGGAATTGCTGAATATTCTGCGGGATGATTGTATGATGGGAGAATACCCTGCATGTGAATATTATCACAACCTCCGACTGCAAACCTAAACAAATGTACCTGATTTTTTTCGTACATAAACCCACTCCCAGCACTGCAAATGCAATAGCTTGATCTTCGAAACAACCGCCAGGGTCAGTACAGGCTCAAATGTACTCACATATGACCGTTCTGCTAGTGCTTTCTTTTGCTTCATCCGACATGATCACCAAGGACCACCTGTTTTTTTAACCAAATCTCTTTCATGAAATCCCCTCTACTCCTTCACTTGCTTCAATGGTAAAGAGCAGACGATACAGTGTGGCATTTACCCTTCTCCGACCTTCTCCGGCACCGTGTGCGAATGCTACAACAGCGTCCTGCATACAGCAAATACAGTAGATGGTGCTGATCTCACCTTTTGTCTCGACAACGAAAACACTGGGAAAGCCTGTGCGAAGAACCTGGGGATCAAGCAGGTGAGCTTTTCACACGTAAATGCGTTATTGGCACAGGCGGTCAGTATGGCAACAACGAGTTTGCGATACCAGACGGAATTGTCGGCTAACTTGCAAGAGCTGACAGCGAATTTGGTACCAGCGAAGCCATTTCGCTACTGTCTGCTCGCATTGAGCCCACTGTGCTCGCCATCGTCGGAGCGGGCGAAGAAGGGGTTCACACTAGGCGGAGACGGAGATATCATCCAAGACTTGCTGAAACCCTCAAACGTCATGTGCAACGTAGGCCACACATTGCGCTTAAACCGTTTCTTGTCCGCATCATTGCTAGTCAGAGGCAAAATGAAAAGCGTGGTAGGCGGAAACGAAGCACCAACTAGCTCAGGAGCATCATCCGCCGGAGGGTTCGCAGCTGGGAAAGTGAGGACAAGAAACGTCGAACGAGACGACGTCCAGAAAAGTCTGCTCAATCTGATGAAAAGGAGAGCTCTGAACTTTTTACCATGGCAGAACAACCATAGTTGGAAACTTGGATTAACCAGCATACCACCTTCGAGACCAGCACCTTTGGAAGAAGCACTAGCGAAATCGACGATGCAGGCGTGTTTGATTGGGAATAGTACTTACTACTTTTAGATGTCATGATCTTTCGCTTGACAGACTTTGATGTGACAGATTCGTTGTAGTTGTTGTTTTGATGTAAACGACTTCGTCCTTTCCAGTGACTACGGTTGTTTTAATGTAAACAGCTTCGTCCTTTCCAATGACTACGACCTCAGGTACCTGCATCCGATCCCTCTTTATGGAGCAGTACCGACGATTTTTGAAACTGTTTTACAACAAAGCCTACGTGTGGCATTTCCTGGAGGCCAACGGAGAGCTAGAGGAATTTTACGAGGCTAAAGAGTCCGTGCGGCGACTAATAGATGCCTACGAAGAGCTTCTTGCAAGAGCCGCGCAGGTAGAAGATCCTAAAGGCAAATTAGCAGTCTCAGGTCAAACGTCAAGTACGAAGGAAGGGGTCAGAGACGCGGATAAAAAGTGAAGCATCATTGTCATAATCGGAACATACTCTGCTGGTTTCACTTGTATACTATTTTTAAAGACTAAGTCTCTCTAAGACGTAGAAGTAAGGTCAAGAAATTTAGCGTTTCTTGTGTTGCTCACATGCACCCATTCGCGATCACATTGTCGGGTAAATACGAAAGCAGCGCAGCGCGTTCGCTTTGATGTTGTGAAGTAAAGTGTCGGAATTTAGGTATAGGTTCGCTCGACTGGTGAACCCGGCTTTGTGTGAAGTTGATAGCTGGTAGGCGATCCGATCTATTGATACAGGAGCGATCACTTTTTGCTGGTCTTGCTTTTCTATTCTGGCTTTCGTTTTTGAAGAATCCACCTCACTCCCTGATCGCGACTGTACCTGTGGACCCTAGGAGATCCGATCTTTCTAGTAGGTCCTACGGATTAGACTAGAATACCTAAGTAAGTAAATGATACCAACAAGACAAACAAAATGCGCGCGGCCAAACTTGTCCGCGGCGTTGCCGCTTCTCTTGCCACAGGCGTGGTCGTGAAGGTTTTTACTTTCACGCTCAACCTCCTCCTCGCAAGACACGTTTCCGCAGAGAAATACGGAAAAGGGTTCCTCTATACGTTTTTCAACTCTTTGGTCCTCTTCCTCCAAAAGGAAGGTTTCCGACGCGTCGCATTACGCACAGAAGAAAAATACGAGAAAGCACGATCTAGAGCAGTGGTGTCAGGTGTAATTTGTGCGCTGGTGTGCAATGTGGCTTGTTTGGCATTTTGGTGGCCTACTGGACCTGGCAGTAGTGACGAACAAATCAGTCTGCTGCTGGTCGCGCTAGCCACAGCAATCGAAGCCTGCGCCTTAGAGCCTTGCGTAGTGATCGAGAGTTGGCGAGGCAGACTGGACACGCGTCCCTTGGCTGAAGGGGTTGGTCGTATAGGAAAATCTCTTGCATTAGCCGTTGCTGTGCTGATTTTCCATTTTTCATATGTCCAGTCGTTCGCAGCAACGGAACTGCTGTATGCTGTAGTGGCCTATGGCGTTTACGCATGGAAAATAGGGACCTCATCACGTCTTCACCAACGACTAAAGGAGATTTACGCTACTGGAATGAAAGAAGTTGGATCACAAATAATGCAGTTTGACTTCCGGTTCCGATCTTCTACATCTAGTGGTGTACCACAACAACAACAAACCTCCGAGAAGTTATCCAGCAGTATCCTCTTCCTAGCAGTGCAAAAACTAGTTTTAGCAGAAGGGGAGAAAGTGCTTTTGCTGCTGTGGTTCTCAGACGCGCCTGAAGTGTGGGGTACCTATGCTTTAATCACGAATTTGGGTAGCTTGGTATTGCGACTACTGTTTGCGCCGGTAGAGGATGTGGCATACGCTTTCTTTTCGGCAAATAGTCGTGGAGCAGGTGAGGTTTCTACCGAACAAGGGGGTGAGGTTGCAGATGTAGATGAAGATGCTGTTAACAAACTTGACGATAGTACGACTGATGGCGGCAGCCGCACATCAGAGAGTTGCACCAGAAAGAGGAATACAGGACCAGCCCCAGCTGTTGCTGATGAGAAAACCACTGCAAATAGTGCGAGTGGTAGTCCCTTGGACGAGAAAGAGAGTTACCGCATCCTTTTCACCCTCCTCACCCTACAAGGCGGTATTGGTTACCTTGCGCTTTTGTATGGTCCCGCTAACGCTTATTTCGCGATACGGATTCTCTATGGCCCTAGTTGGGCAGATGTACCAGAAACAGAAGCCGTCCGAGCATTACAGGTTTATTGCCCTTTTCTCTTCTTAGCTGCACTCAACGGCATTCTCGAGGCCTTTACACACGCCAGAGCTAACGCAACATGGCTCTTTCGCAACGCGATGCTGCAGCTGGGGCTCAGTGTGCTTTATGATTCGGAGAAATATCGAGATTCTTCTATACAGTAATGATGAGGGTAGAGGTACTCGCCTCATCTGCTACTGCTTCTGCCCTCAACAAGAACCTTCTCGTCTTCCTGATCGCATTTGAAGTACCAGAGAGATCATATTTCGTAACTCCTCTAATCTCTACCCGTTCTCGGCAGTTGGGCATTAAACGCGACTCTGGGATGGCGCGCGCCCGCACTGATAGCCGCCAACGCTGGTTGTATGCTTCTCCGCGTTATTTACTGCTCACACTTCGTCCTCTCAAGTCAAGCTGCAAGGACCTTAGTCCACGAATACAAGCAGTCCTTTCTTAGGCTCCTAGCGATTTGGACGGCTTTTGCCGCTTTGGATGCGGGCTTAGAAGTGATGAATTTTGGGAAAGTTCGAGTGCCTCCTCTAGAACAGGGAGTTCAAGTTCTAGGAAAGAGGGAACTAGTTCAAATGGGTGTGATCCATGTAGGCTCTGCCTTGTCCTGTTTGTGTGTTAGCGCCTTTCTATCAAGACACGAACTCATACTTTTTGCTCGCTCTCTACGCACAGCAACTTCGAAAAGAACAGAGTCAGGAAATATCAATGAGCTCGATGTGCCACCAGAGACTAGTAGTGGGAAGAAGAAAGTTTTTTGATAAGTCCTCACTTGAGCTGGTGTGCGAGGACCGGGGCATTTGCCGTCAATGTAACGCCAAAATAAGCACTGCTGCGTTTTGGTAATACGCGAGGATGAAGCAGGGCCATTGTCTTTTGCCGTCTAGCAAGAATGTTTTGCGCCAGTTCAGCTTGTCATCGGATCTTTCTTTGGATCGTGTTGATGATCATTCACATTTCTTCCGCCAATCTAACCCAATTTGCGCAGCAGGACTGGGATGCCATTTTTTCAAATGAATAGAACAAAAGTCGCACTCGCTTGTTATCTCTTGAAATTTTAGATCGCACTTTTTGTTTCAGTGGTTTGAATTAGCGATAGCTGTAGCAGTACTCTTCTGAATTTTTATTCAATAGTGATTCAATTGCATAAGTAGAATACTTTTTTCACTCGAAGAAATTTATGCACGAACACAGAAAAACAAAATGACGAACAATCTTATATGTCTGACCATGCGACAACAACTTAAGTTTTTTCGGCTGAGCTCCTCAAGCATTATGCTAGTGCTTTTGCTCTCTGCATTGCTATGCAGACCGGCGAATTGCTCCTTGCAACTACCAGGTTCATCCTCCCATCAACCGGATGCAGAACATACAGTTGAGGAACCAAATGCAAATGGTAGTACACAACGACCCTCTAGCTCTACTAGGTCTAGAAGAACAAGCCGAGTCAGTTGGAACAACCAAGGACAAGTAGATGACAGCCAACTTACTCCAGTAACCGATCTTTCTCTAATAGGACCTCCATCTTTCTTGAGCACTACTTCTAATGATGCTCGTTCATCAACAAAAACTACAACGTCGACGTCGACCGGGCAAAGTCCACGGTCCTCGTCGTCGACGTCTTCCGATGCGTCTACACCATCACCTACTGCTGCAGCTTCTCCTGAAGATCAGATATCCTCCGTAGTTGCCCAGCCTCCGCCAAGAAGCAAAAGGCCTGAGCCAAGTGATAGATGCATGATATGTTTGCAGGATCTAAAAGAGGCGCTGTTGGAGGCTGCGTCTGCGTCTCCTGATACTGCTGAACAAGAATTTCACTCACAACCTTCTGCTTCTGGATCTGGTACGAGTAGGAAACAACTCCAAGCACAACCATCTTCTCGTCCAAGTCGGAAACAACCACAAGAAGAATCATCAAAAATCAAGGAGGACAAGAATATCTTTTGCGCAACTACCTGTGGTCACCGCAATGCCCACACTTCATGCATGCGAACCTGGATGGAACACTCCAAGGACAAAGCAGGGACAAAGCGTGAGAGTTTGTTTTGCCTCCAATGCATGGGACCCCTAGAGTTTGAAGACGAGCTGAAAGCTGGGTTGTACGAGTTTTATGAGTATGATGGAGGTGCTTCGATTAGCACAAGTCAACAAGATGGACATCAAGGAGGCGGACGTGGCTCTCGTCGTGGTGGAACGCCTAGAACACTAGACGCTCCGGCTTCTGGTCGTGGAAGATTACAGGGTGAAGAAATTGGAACCTCCGAAGCTAGTCGTCCGAGTAGCCCTGAAGACATGATAGGATCAACAGGGACACCAGCCGTCTTGGAGGTACACCCATTATCATCTTTTTTGCTAGTCTTGCCTTCAAGTTCAACTGCTGCCCAAGGACAAGGAGAACCAGATGAGGCTATGATTGAAACAGCAGATCGTTTGCCTGATGGACAAGACCAAAGACGAGACCAAGATATTACAAGCGCTGATCATCATGCTGGTTTCGACACACCGCCTCCTGCTCCTTCTGCTGCGAGCCCATTTCCCCCTCCACCTATTCCCGACATCACAGGCTCTGGAACAACTACGAGATGCGTAGTGTGTGCACGCAAATTGCGATTCCGGTTTTCGTCAACATCTTCTGGCTTTTGTCCCCGTCCTCCAGGAGGTACTAGGAGCGTTCTCGAGGATTCCGATGAAGATTACATCATGGACGAGGACGGTGACGGTGTAGATCATAATCCCCTCGGTCAGCAACAAGATCCAGGAACAAGTCCTGCTGGTTTTCGACTTCTACGTCTCCAGAGATGGCGGCAAATAAGACGGCGCGCCTTGCTTCAAGGTGGAGGTTCGCCAAGCAATGAGCACTCTGTGGATGAAGGAGAAGGTGACGAGGGTCATGATCATGTTCACGTTGGCGACAGGACGACGATAACGAGTCAGCCGACGACAGACCTAGGTGAAGCTGAAATGGATCATGAGCATGTTGGAGACAGGACAACGAGAGAAGCCACAGACCTAGATGAAGCTGAAGTGGCGCTCAGCATAGAAGATGCAGCCCGAAGACGAGGATTGACTACGCATAGAGGGAGTGCAATGGACGACCTACACGATGACGAGGTGGAAGAAGTCGAAGGTCTGCTTCAGGATCAACATCAACATCAAGACGACCCTCTTCCTGCGTCCTCAAGAACGACTACGAGAACCACAACTTCTAGTAGGCAGCTGCCACGAAGACGACGACCAAGACCATACTTGCAAGTAGATCCTGATTCTGACGAATTTCTGGAGGACACGACGTCTAGCAGGCCCTTCCTTTTTAGCAATTCAGCTCGCGTCTTACAACTCCAAGAGGCGCACGATGAGCTCTCTCCTCTGAAAATCCGGTTTACAGGTTGTGGGCATGGCTGTCACCTTCGATGTCTGGCTGACCTACTAGACGTGGAGAAGCTGTGCTTCACTTGTCCTTGTAAAGAAGGCATACTGGACCCTTCTAGTGGTGGGACAGATGAATCCGCTGGAGGTCGTTCCTCTTCAACATCAAATGCATCTTCGAGTTCATCAAATGGTGCTGGTACTGGTAGTGGAAGTAGTACTACTGGAACTGCAACTACACGAACTCTTGGCGATAATTCCTCCGGCAGAAGGATTACTTCTCCGTGGTCTCATACACTCACCTCTCCACCTACCCCCTATCGTTCTGAGCTAGAGTACTTGGTGAGAGGATATCATCGCGACGACCGCCTTCCAAGGACGTTGAGAATGTTGCGGGAGAGAGTGTATGGCCCAACCGGCTCTGGTGCAGCAACTACAGGCACTGTTAGGTCAAGTGCTTCAAATTCAATGTCTACAAGGCGCCCACCTGAAACATCAAATCAGGGCACGCACCGTAGAACCAGCACCCGAAGAGGACAGTTTCCAACAAGACGAGGGCCAGCAGTTTTTCTGAACCCGTCAGTAAACAACGAAGACAACTCGTCAGATCTTCCTGAGCAAGCGCATGATGCTCAAAATTCCGCGGACGCAATCCTCCCGGACGAAAACATCCCCCTTCTCAGAGAAATGGCGCGACAAAGGATCAATGCCAGACGTAGAGAAGCCTTATCATCTGACCAGATTCTTTTCAATCGACGCAGACGAGCACCAGTTGTAGCTAGTACCGTAGAAGAGGATATTGTTGTACAGGACCAAACCTCTAGGCAACCGCAGCACACGACTCAACACGGCAACTATTACTACAGACCTGGTGACCTAATCAACATGTTCGGATCTCCTCCAGCAGTTGTTTACGGAGGAGGACTTCTAAATGGGGTTGTAACTCCATCTTCATACACTGGCTATCATGCTGGACTTCGCTATTTATGAAAGAAAAAAGTGCACTCACACTTAACAAAAGTGGCTATTTTCCTACTTAAATCCTAGCCAATTTCTTGAGTGTGAGTGCACTTTTTCGCTTCATACTATTTACCTCTAGTTTACGCCGCGACTGGAGCTGGAACTACAGCGTGGGAAGCTGAAAGTGAACTAGAAGACGGAGGTGGAGGACAAAACGGAACGGATACGGACTCAGAGGTGGTACGTCTTCTTAGGGAGGGAGAGTTCAGGATGCGTGGAAGCGTTGTGGGAGTGAGCGGAAGGGTTACGGCTATTGATATTGTCACATAAAGCGAGCCAATCACCTACTGTCGAACTCAAATTCTGTCCTCTTCTTATAATTACAAGCAGGAGGCCCTTGGTTTTGGTACTCTGATTCGAATTCTTTGGTTACCTCCTCCGCTATCCCTTCATCATTATTGCAGTGCATACACAGACTACAGTATACCTCCTCTAAAAGTCACACAAGAGCACGATCATCCAGATCCAGATCCAGTACCGCCTCAAGAAGAGGACTAGGCTGGTTCGGCAACCAGAGAGCGAGGCAGAGGGCTGGTGAGGACGTCGCCTGCGTCTGTTGTTTCACGGGGATTTCTGCTTTGGTTGGGGCTTGTGTGAACACCATGTGTGGTCCTGATTAAGGCACTTTTGAAGAGAAGTTGAAAATTTGGAGCACTTCAAATTTGGAGCACTTCCAAAGTCCAAAATTTTGTGAATTTGGAGTACTGAAATGCAGGTGTCGTGTTCCATTGATGACGACACATCAACATAAAGAACGAGAAGATCGATGGAAGGCTACTCAGCTTGACATCCTGGACACACAAAGAGGATGATCCATGTGCAGCATTCCTCAAGAAGTCTAAGATCCCGCGTGTCTTCTGTGGGCTCACTCCTGTACTATCGCTGCAGCACTGCTCGGGATGCTTCCACTTCCTGCTGATGAACAATGAAGATGATCTGCTCAAACACAAGTTTTAAAATCCATCGAATACATTTTTCAAAATCAAACTAGTGAAATTTGAAAGACTTGCAACGAACGCTGAAATTAACGATTTCTTTTATAATGAAGTTGACGTTGAAATGGATCTAAAGCGAGAACTGTAGAGCCAGGCAGCAAAAAAAAACTGAAACTGGCGGTACAAGTACATGAATGAATGAAAACTGAAAGAGACAAAAGTTTAACTTCTTCGGTGTCTACTACTCTGAAGAGCGCTACGACTTACTGTGAATGTTGTAGCACTTACTTATTTGCAAAGAGGCCAAAAAAGCTAAGCCGCGTGTTCTTGTTCACTTCGTTCAATCTTCGTGAAATGACAATGATTGGATCTTCTCACACGGAGAAACTTCACGGAGATCCAAGGCATCAACGAAAACGTAGATCTCGAGACATCACGATTCATGGAAGCAAACACAAGAACAACAGCATCATGCGGGTGGTTGTGACTTCCTGTTTTATCGACGTTCTGAGAATTTGGAATAAATTTTTATACCCCACCCTAGTCAGGCTGCTTTGGCTCTAAAGCATGCAGCTACAAGAAAACGAAGAAGAGGATCAACATCAGTTGCCAACCATGTCTGCTAGTGTTCCTAGTAGGCCCACGCCTAACCTAACCTCGCAGCTTCAATGAGCTTGAGATCAGCTTGATCCTTTTCTACGCCTAGCTCACGACTCAAAACCTTAGTTCCTTCTACCATAACAATCTTTAGGTCGTCAACAGTGTCAGTGACAAGGCAAAGCAGCAGTGAAGTAGCTGGACTGATTGAATTTCTTACAGGTATAGGTCCTAGTAGATCACAAGTTCTTGAACAAGATTCAATAACTACAGTTTCACTTACTACAAGCACCTCGAATATTAGAACAACCACCTTGATCTACTTTACGCATTCAGTAGCCAAGAACTATGTCTGCTAGTTTTTCCCGTGGGCCCACACCTAGCCTAAAAACCTAACAGATCGACTACAACCATAAAATTCACAAAATCATGTTGTTCAAACTCCGTCTTCGCGTGGAGGTTCGAAGCGAGGCCTCCCCGCTCGACGTGGTGCAACGCCGGTTTGTTGTCGTGATTCCTCCAGGACACCAGCATGGCACTCTCGGAGACCTCGTAAACTACCTCGCCGCTAACTATGCGCAACCTCTACTTGCAGAGAGCAGGGACGCTGCACTAAATGGCACTCTTCTTGCGGGTCGTGGAGGTAGGGAGCGTTCTTCAAGAAGATGCTCTACAACTTCTGCATCTATGATGATGGTTGTGCCATCTAGTTGTACTTTCGGAGGTAGACAACAACTACGAGGACCAGGAGCGCCTTCCGTCTCATCAACGACTCGGGCCGCTCAAATCAATGGTCCTTCACCTAGTGATGGTGCAATGAATTCTGCTGGGTGTGGCTCCGGTTCAACATCGTGCTCTAACATGCTGTGCGACATCAAGCAAGAAGAACAAGAGCAAGATCTTCTCAGTACTCAAAACGACCCACTAAGTCTTCACGGATCAATGTCATCTACTGAAGAGGAATTTTCCAACTGCTCTCTGTGGACTGGTGATGGTGAATTCGAATATACCCAAGGAGACCTTCCATTTGCTGAGGTGTTAGACCGTAATGAAGAGGTTTTGTTAAGGGCTGTTGTTGCTTCTCGAATGATTATTACGAATTCTCATCATGCAGTTGCAGCTTTACCTCAACATCGTGCTAGCACAACGAGCAACTTCTATAATACTAGTACTGCAAGAGCAAGTGCTTCCTACAACAGCATGATGAACAGGATCCAAAGTACTGAACAAAACGATCTGACGAGCAAGATCATGAAGATGCCTGTTATGCCTATTGGTTACCATGTTTCCGAGCAGCGAGAAGAAGAACCAGGATCATGCGTAGTGTCTTCGGAACAAGGAGAGCATGGCCCTCCAGCTAAGCGACAACGTGTGGAAGCTGTTACCCAAGAACAGCAGGAAAAGGATGAACTACTTCATTCTGAAGACACTACATCTTTGCTGACGAGGACTTCCAAAGGACAAGGGACTCCAGCAAGAGCTCCTGCAGCGTCGTCTGGAGCTGCATCCTCTTCTTCATCTAAAAACGAAGAGGAACGAAAAGTAGTGACCAGCACAACGAATAACACAGATCAGAAGCCTGTCGAAAAGAAGGAAGAAAGCAACTCAGAAGAAGAATCGTCATCAGAGGAGGAAAAGGAAAAAGAGCAGACAGCAGGTAAAATCGATGCTACCGCACCTGCACCAGGACCAGTCGTCGCACAACCTGCGGCTGGCGAGCAACAACAAGAGAATCTGAATCAACCCGATGCTAAGAAAGATGCGAGCAAAGAAGCAGCTTCATCGAGCAGTGAGGAGGACGAATCATCTTCTGAGGAAGAATCTAGTTCTGATGAGGAAGAAAAGAAGGTGAACGTAGCGGCTAAGCCAAAGGCTATGGTAAAGTCAAGAGATGAGTCATCTTCTGAAGAGAGTTCGTCTGAAGAAGAATCTAGCAGTGAAGGAGACGAGGATGATTCTAGTTCCACTGGTAGCACTGGAACTGGAGGTAACAACAACAAGACCAATAAAACGATCATCTTCCCTGCCATGCAAGATGCTAAATGGCAAGCTATGAGTATTTTAGACTACGAAGAGCAACCACAGAACGGCGATTTCATGCAGTTTCGGGCTTTCGAACTCCAGAAGAACGGCAAACCGCGTTTAGGCCCGTTCAGAATCGCTTTAGTGGAAAAACGCTTGGAGACAGAGGAAGACGACGGGATCAAACTAGAATTGCAATTCAAATACTCGGACGGTACAGTCGATATATTGGAACCATCGGAAATCATGCAGCCGCATCTGATACCGAAGAGTGCGCCTGCTGCTGCTGCTGCTGAGAAGGTTCACGTTGTAGATGACAAGGACAAGAATACGACGGAAGATAAGACTAAGAGTGCTCCTGTTGCAGGAACAGCGGATGAAAAGGAAAGGCCTGAAGAGCAAAAACAGCAGGTGGAAGAAGAAAAGCCGATGGCACAGAAGACTGGTGAACTAATTATAGATGCAGCGAAGGCAGAAAAAGCTGACGAAGCGCAACCAAACCAACAGGTTGAAGATGGAGTGATGACCGACGCACAGAAGAAGACCAGCGAGCCGACTCCAGCACAGGAGAAACAAGAGCCCACCTTGCCATTAGATCGCGATCTCTTGCGCCAAATCCTACTGAACCCGAACTGTCCTTCGCTCTTACAACGGTTGCAGGAGTCTTTAGCTAATGGAGGTGAACAAAAGCAGGAGGAAGTAGGGGATGTATCTATGCCACAAGCTACTTCTTCTACTTCTTGTGGTCCAGAGCACAAGCAGGCGGTGGCTGCTCCTTCGTGCGCGCCACAGCCTTCTATTGATGAAGTTGTTGTTGGTCCTGTGAATCGACCTGGACCTGCGCCATCCGTACCTTCACATGCTGGTGCTGTAGGTCCTGTTCAGGAAGAGAAATCATTTACTCCTGCAGCACCGGTAGAGGCTAGTGCAGCATCTAAAGAACAAGTACCTGCACCTTCACAAGAACGAGCCAACACTGGAACATCAACTAAAAAACTTCTAGAAGAACAGGAGGAAAATAAAGAAGATTCTGTTCTTGCAGCAAGTTCCTCTACAACTGCAGTTGTTGTCCAAGATGCTCCTCAAGAACATACCAATTGGTCTGCTGAGCAGATCTCCAAAGAGTTAGACCGGTACATAAATTCTTATGAGACTGGGTTGCAAAATAGCGATGATGAGGAAATCATCCGCCACAGTGTTTTGGGTGATATCATTCGCTTTCCTCCTACTCTTGACGTCGTGCAGACTGTCAAAAGCAAGTTTTTGCGGTTACGTCGCAGTGTCAGGGAACAAGTGGAGTACTACTTTGCCAATGCTGGTGCAGGAGCAACCGCCGGAAAAAATAGTAGTGGTAAAGGAGGTAGCAACAATAAACGGGTTTACAACAACAATATTTTTTCGCCATCGTTTGACGAAATCGGCGACAGTTTCTTGAAGCGCAACGCAGATAGACAAGGATGGGTCCGTGTGTCGGTTCTCATGGTCTTCCAAAAGCTTGCGCAAATGCTGAGAGGATTCGACGGTGCAGACGAAGCTTTTGTTTGTTTCTGTTTGCAAGAGTCAGACGCGGTGGAAGTATGCGCTGAGAGCCTGTGTATGCGACCGAAAGTGACGCTCCTGTTGGGTCGTGCTCCTCCTGCCAATGCCGACATCGAAGTTTCAGCTTCTGATGCACCAGTTGCAACGGATCAAGAACAAGCGCAACAAACCACCATAGCGACCTCAAGCAAGACGAACAACCGAGGAGGCCGCGGGGGTCGTAATAAGAAGCCGCATGTTCCGGACAATGCTCAAGGTGGCGGAGGCAAGAAGTTGTGGCCACGCCACTTAGCTGCTGCGGCTGCACAAGCTAGTGGGGGAGCATAGGAACAACTTGAACCAAAGACCGGACTGGATGTTTTTACCCTTGTGAGAGAGTTGCCTGAAAATAGATGAACATGAATGATCATTTCATTATAAACTGACATTCACATCACGACCTAGAACGTTGTGACCTGCGGCGCACCAGGAGCAGGTCCATGCTATAGACCATCCCATTGAATGATTGAACATGTTGCCCACAACCTCCTTGTATGAGAACATGTATGCACGTCCCCCCTCAAGATCACGCAATACTCTCAAATTGAATTCTCGCGCGCCTGGTTGGGACCGTCAGCCTGCGGAATCCCCCAGTGGCAATCCTCCTGTAGTCTTCAATAAAGTGTAATAAGCCAAGCAATCTGTTGTAGAATTTCGGTAGTATATAACTTACAGCTCGCAAGAAAAACACTTTGAGAGAGGGGGAGACGACATCAAAATCAATCAAGAAAACGTAAACTTTCGAAAAGCGTTAGAATCTGTTCATTGAGTCGGCCGTGTCATGCTCATTCACGTGGTCGGTTGTAAAAATTGTATCTGTCGTTGCCTCTTTCTCGTCACCATCCCCACTTAGTCAAGCAAAAAAAGAGGGTACTAGAGGAACAATCGAAAGAAGAACCAAAACTAGATGACACAAAAGGAGGACAGAATCGAATTCAAGAAGGTTGAAAAAGTAAAATTGACCTGGTGCTCGTCTCTTGCTTTGATTTACAAAAAAGTGCGGACCTCCTTCTTCTAGTACTTACTCGTGCACTTACTCATACCCTCACTAGTTTGTCGAGGACTTCTCAAACACAAGATGTTGTGGCGCAATCCGATTCTCCTTGCCTTCTCGGCACAAATATTGAGAACCACGATCGCCTTCTCTGCAACCACACAACACAACCACGGAAGTGCACCTAAGCAAGCAGTAATTGATGCGGCAGCAAATGCGAAGCTCGAAGAATTCGAAAAGGAGGCAGTCACACACGAAAGCGCCCTACTAGAGGTAGAGAAAGATCTAGATCATGATGTGGGGGCTCTTGTTCAATCAGCTGGAGGAGGAGCGTCAACAACAAAATCAGAGCTGTCTTCAAATAAGTATAAGATCTCTTACTTTCCAACCCGCACGGATCACGATGTCAGCGAACTGCTGGGTTTGCCACCACCACTCAGTCTAGATCAGATTGGGTCTTTGGATGCAGGTAAAATTTTGGACGAGGAGAGCCCTGTGAAGACGGGCGCCCATACCAGTGAGTTCTCAGCGTCGGTGCAACAACAATATGATTGAGAAACTTCGCCCCAATGCCTGACAAGCGAAGTTTTGGCGCGACAGCTGTTACTACGAAGAGCGTCGCCGCGGCTAACGAGTATCGTCGGCCGCTGCGAGGACCATCGTCGAGGCTTGGGATTTCACAGCAAGCCGGCTGCCTCAGTTCGCGACAACCCCACACCAGCCTCAGGGACAGCCCCATAGAGCCACACACCCTCACGCCTATGCTCGGCGTGTTGCCTGGCTCTTGGTGCGACTGACGCTGGCAGACCGGTTCCACGGGTCCCCCCACCTGGTGGCCACCAGCATGACCCACCCACAGAGGGCGCGCGTGAGTTGTACAGGTGTGACAGTGACCCTGACAAGCCACCGCCGGCGAAAGCCGTCGCAGCCCGGTGTGGCGCATGACAGGCCACCTGACCACGACCATGACGGTGGGCCCGAGCTGCCACCTGGATTTGGCTTGACCAGTCGGCTCGCTGTCTCACCACGTGCCCACATGCGGCGCCATGGCTTGAGGACTGCGTGACCCCTACACACAGGCCCCGCGCACGTCAGCATTGCCCACGTGGTGACTTTGGGGCGACTTCCACAAAGTAGCCCCAGGTGCTGGGGGAGCCGCCTGCGTCCACCTTATTAACTGTGGCGCTTTCTTGTTTTCTGCCATTCGCCCCGCCTTCACTGGGCAGGTGAGGGTCAGGGGTTGAGCAGCGCAGACACCCCCGGCGAGGGATCTCGCCAAAACTTCCTCTGTCATGGCTTGGTGCGAAATTTCTGAGTCATAAACAAGGTAAACAGCTGCTTCGTTCCGAGAACAAAGACAAAGGGAACAAAGACAAAGGGGTGGCAGGTGGTAGTAGCCCGAAGCTCAACACGGAACTTCTCCATCATCTTGCAATTGCTGCTACGCGAGTCGAGAAACTAAACACGGAACTTCTCCATCATCTTGCAATTGCTGCTGCGCGAGTCGAGAAACACCGAAAGCGATGGAAGCTAGTGAAACAATCGGAAGAACTGGATTTTTCTGATTTGAAGGAAGGAGACGTAGATCGCGAAGCAGACGACGCAGAGGGAGAAGAAGAATCACAGGGCGTAGAGACTGCTCTATCTTCATCGTCTGTCCATTTCCATTCAACATCACCAAAAAGTAGAAGTAGAACCAGTACGTTCCACGAGCAACGCTCGTTCGCACTATGGTCCAACAACGAAGCTGAGACCTACTACGAAGGGAGAAAAATCCCAATGACTATGTCCGCTTCGAGTTACACTGACGCGGACAAAAAAGCAGAGGAGGATGAAATCGCTCGTGCTCTTGATAAGATGAACAAAATTGATCCCGAGAAGAAGACGTCCATGTTGTTCGTCGTATGGAACGCGCCCACGACTATGAACAGACTCGAGGTGATGCTATCTACGTGGTTGGGCAACGATTTGAGTGAGGAACAAGTAGCTATGGTCGTTACTGGGAATCGCGACCACGAAACGAAAATTGAACAGGCACTTTATGAAGAACATGTAAGTAGGTGATTCACAAAGACGTGTGGAAGGAACAATCCATATCATTGCTTACAATGTTGCTTTGAAATTTTAGACTGGATCAAGAACAGGGAAAATTCATTCTCCTGGTTGTTTCACTTCTAATCCCTCTCCGAACTAAGAGCCAACCAAACCAAAGACGCCCAAGAAGATAATGCAGCTCCAGCACTACGTGTCTTTCCTCACGCGGCGACCCACTGCGAGGAGAAGATGAGACGCAAACTCAACATTCAGGATGTGCGCACGGACCTCTTGTACTCCTTCGAGTCGCGCACTATAATGGGCGCGTGTCTACGAGTTTTCTCGATGAAATTTGCTGCGAATCTGCCAAGCCTCAGAGTCCATGGGTTTGTCAATGATGATATCTACGTCGTTCCTCAAGTGCTGCAGTTGCGATTGGAGGCAGCGTTTGCAGACTCAAAGCCAGCAAAACAGCTCCCGAGTGAGGAGGAGATTTATGGCATTTTTGAATATGAAAAAATGTATTATACTAGAGGTCGTGTAGATCGATTGATGTTGATGTAGCTTGTGGCCGCGGTAACATCACAATACCAAGACCTCATCGAGCAGAGAAGTAAAGTCCTCCCACCACCAGCAGCAGTTTTCAGCACGTACTATCTCCGTAAACAACATCTAAGAATAGAAGAAAATGCGATCAAAAGGCATTGAGCCTTATCCATACACGAGTGGCTGGCGTGGACAGCATACCGTCAACTTACACCCTGAGACATTCAATACGGGAAGAAAGGCGATTGCTTTTTGGTGTGGAAATGGAGGATTTTTTATGGTTCTTCTATCATCTTTCGAAATCATGATAAGTGATCAGAACAACCGAAGGAAAGACTATAGGTCCTTATAACTATAGTAGTTGTATGAAATAATCAGTGCTACTGCTACATGAACGAAGTTATCTGGGATGAACGAAGTTATCTGATTCTCTCCTTCTAACCCCAGTGGCGGTATGGGTTCCTGGTTGAACAAGAAGGCTGTCGACTATCTAGCACAAACCTGGAGTTGGGAATCCATTCTGGGAGAAGCTAGGGGAGCCAAGATCTGGGGTTTTTCTGAGGATACCTGCATTGGAATCTTATACCGCCAGATGGAGCGTCGAGGAGAGCTGCATCTGATTCAGGCACCTGAAAACTTTGGCGGATTCACTCCTGGGGACGTGCCTTCGTGTCAGGCGATACATCCACCTGCAGTGCTGGTGCATCATGTGTCTAGTTATGTTGAACAAAAGGCAACCAATGAAGACGAGAGAAAATAGCTGATCAACATGATGAACATTGTGTTCATCATTCAAAGAGTTGTAGCTCATCTAATCTGTTTCCGACGAAGCGAAAAAGTTTAGAACAGAGCGATGCCCTCCAGTGCGGTGCAAAAATGGCGAATGCCTTTTGTGGCATCACGAACAGAAATGGTTGAAGGTTGCCGCGTAGGCATGGTCGCGATGTCCACATTTCACTTTTGTAGGCTGTGGTAGTCATTACATCTAGGTCTATCCTCAATTGTTTCCCGCCACCTATTTACTCATTATTATATAAGTTGACACCCACAACTAACCCAAATACAACAGAGAGTAATTACAGACAGCTAGTGACCAGTTCTTTTCTGGTTGGTCTTCTTCTCCTTTCCAAAATACTCTTAGGGTGAGAGAAAAGAAAGGAAGTCTTGGACTTCAACTCAAGAAATAAATTAGTGACTAACTAATGACAGCGCCTCCAATCTAAACAATTCATCCCCCTTCTCATTGCTTGCATCTAGGTCTATCTTCAATTGTTTCCCGCCACTGACTCAACATTTTTTACGGAAAGGAGACAGCACGACAGCAGTATGAATGTGCAGCTAATTGTGGCAAGCCCCATGAACCGAGCCGTTCTTCGCAAATTAAGTACTTGTTTGAAGATCATTGTTGCGTGTCGGTTCTTGTCGGCTGCCAAGATAGTGACTGAAATCTTCAGTCTCTTGTCATACGACATACAATAAGAGCGAGATGTCTGTCATCGAGAGACCTCCGAAGAAGAGCATGTCTGTCTCCGGAGAGAATACTCTAGTCTGCTGCGAAACAGCATTTGATTCTGTTGGGAGATATTACCTCGTGCTGTGAGTGTAGCGCTGAACTTCATTGAAAAAAAAGTTAGAGTTTTATCACTTATGCCAGTTCTCAATGATTCATTGACGATGTTGAAACCGATTATCCAACAGGTGGCTGTTGCTTCTGGGAGCTTCTCCAACCTATTTTTCCAAGAACGTCGACGTGCACGTGCTATCGCTACCTATCACACTTTGACGCAGGGATAAAGGCTCCTTCTACTATAAGATCATTTACAATTTCATCAGATTCAATTTCATTCAATCATCGACATCGAGCATATGCACAAGAAACACAAGGCTTAATATAACGAAAGAAAAAAATCAGATTGAACTAATCTTCAGCCACTTAGGCATTTAACTACTTCAGGAAATCTACAGAACTGTTCTATCATCAACAAGATGAGACTAGGACTCCTCCGTGCAACGAGTCTTCTGACAACTACTGCCGTGTTAACCCCCAACACATTGTTGGCGGTTTCCGGTATCAAGTTGACTCTTACGCAGTCTTGTGCTGACGATTCTTGCTGTAGCGGAGATGGACAGGTGCACCAAGTTAAGGCCTTTGTTTACTAGTGTGTATCATCAACATCATCTCGTGCGATGAGTGACCTATCCTGATAAGCGGAGAAATCCCATCCGCAATAGTTCTCAAGTCGGAACCATAGTTATATCCTGATGGCATTTTCCTAACTTATGGGCAGACAAAACCTTATCAATAAGATTCACCTCTAATCCCAGCCCTCCCCCTGCTGTTCCGAATACTCCTGCATCTCTGCAACGTGATGCCACGATTTGGACGGCTTCTATTGACCAACTGCAGCAACGCTTTGCCACATGGTGGGACAACTATGGTTTCGCTCACTACCCTGGAACTCGCGTTGCACTGGACAAAAAGCCGGATTTAAGACTGAATATTCAATACATTCTCAAAAATGTTGAATGTCAATCAGTCTTCAATATTTTTTCTTGCACTTTTTCTTTTTACGCTTCTTACTTGCCTTGTTTCTATCAGCTACTCGATTCTTGGAATAGTAACACAAATTGATACACCCCGCTAATCACTGATGCAAAGAAGGAGATCCGTATTCGTGTCTTATTGGAGTCCTATGAGCGTGTCGTTCAGCCGCATCCGGAGCATGCTGGCTTGACCTATTTGCAATTCTACCACAAACAAGCGCAAGCTAACTTGGTTCGATGGGCAGCGAATTTTGAGGCCAAATACCCTGCTGCATCTGCTCAGCGCGAAGCAATGCTACCTTCCGCGAAGACTACGATTCTGTTGTTAAGGCTCAATACAATTCATTATCATTTCTACGAAACATCTTTTCCTCTTTCCTTCATCCTAGGGTGGGGAGAAATGTAGGCCTGAGGCACGAAGTGAAAGAATTAATGTTTTGAGCTCTAATATTGATTGAAGGCGATTGGGGCCTTGGAACCAGTGCCTTGACTAAAACTTTCGGGAAAGCCTTTACGGTTTTGAATATGGCCAACGCTCGCGTCTTCGGAGGTGGATTCAAAGAAGGTCCTGCCGCACAAGAGGAAAACTTGTTCCGTCGTACTGACGTTGGCTTCACCGGTAAAGAAGTGGCTTTCAAACAACCCGATGCGGGTGGCAAGGTTGAATACACTCAGGAATGGAACCGAGCTATCAACGGCATGCCTGGTTCCGATTATTACCTTCCTAATACGATGCGCGTTTGCTTTCGTGGCCCTGAGCAAACAACGGGATCGGAATTTTCGACGCGCACGCCGGGGTATGACTTCTTGCCGCCGCAGGAAGTGTTCCCCCTCTACGAATTGCGCGCGGCGGCTGAGAACTTGAAGGAGCACAAAATTTTCAATCTCAAGGATGCTTTTCAGGCTTACACAACCAACGCGCATAACGTGAAAACTTCGATGTTTCATCGCATCCGCAAGCAGTTTGCAAAGGCGACTAAATCGAAGAAAAAATATCTTGTCCTGAGCGCATTCGGTGCCGGTGCCTTCAACCATCCGGCTGATGAGGTGGCTGATTTGTACTTTAAGCAACTGATGCACGACGCAGCGAAGTTTAAAGGTGGCGTGATTGCTTTCGTTATTCTCGGGAGTGCGGGATACGGATATGATAACTACTCGGTTTTCAAATCTCGCTTCTTGGCATGGGCCAAGAGGACGGAGCACAAGGAAATGGGTGCCTCGCAATGGACCTTCAAAGTTCACGACAGCGTCTCTGACTTCCAACACGGCAAACCGTCCACCAAGCTCACCCAACAGCAAGAGGCAAATATCAACAAATTCGAACAAGCAAAGATGCGCTAAATATGCTCGTCCTCGTCGGTGAGGGGGTTTCATTTGGAAGGAGTATAGGCATTGGGTGGTTGGACTTGGATATGTGAAAGGCGACGTGGAGAAGGGCAAGATGAGGTTGAACGCTTACAATTTGAATGTGCATTCATCATTCACAGTTGCGACGGATGATGGTCGTGAATGAGAGATGATCAACATTCAAATGATCATAGGGACGGTTGTTGTTTCATGAGGATTTAACTTGGATTTCATCTGGGAACTACGAAGATATGGATGTAATTGATGCTGTCAGTCCAGACTGCTAGAGACGCAGGCACTGATGAAGATGCATGACGAAATGTGAATATAGTCGGCTTTCTATGTTAGCATATGCCGGTCATTTGAACTAGTCCGAAAGAATGACGTTGTTGAGGTAGATAAGGCATCGGTATTTCCCTCTCCATTTGGCTTTCAAAATAGGAAGAACATCGCAAATATTAGAGACTGTAAAAAAGGCTACTCGAGAATAGTAGAATAAGACGTCGAGTATTACAGCGTACAACTTAAAGAAAAACTGAAAGTGAGCAAGGCTCCTGTGCGAGACTCATTTTTGTCTGTATTGCTTGACCACGGCTACAAATAAAGAACGTCGCTGTCATCATTTAGGTGTCGACGCAGGTTCTGCTTCGGGTGTAGACCAAGAAAGACTATATAATAACAGGATTCTGTCTGCTCTGTCACTATTTTTGTTCTAGTGTCTGTTTTTCTTGTCCTCGTACATGAAATTACAGAAAGAGAAAAGTTGAAGGCTCTGTTGTACTTGTAGTTGTAGAGTAGATCTGAAATATAGCTTCTGTGCCCCCCCGCTAGAAGACATATCTGTGGAACTAGAAGTAGAACAAGTCAAAGTCATAACTTCTCTGCTTCTGTTGTTGAGAGGATCTACCCCAGGCAGAAAGTACTCCTCTGAAGGAGAAAACGAAAAACTCAAAGAGAAGCAATGGTCTGAAAGTTTTTTTCAAACCGACAACAAGATGAAGAAGAAGAAAAAGAAAATACTAGAAGATCAAGATTATTTTGCCTAAGCATGAAGAAAACAAAAAGAGCATTGTTCACGTATGCACACTGGCATTAAATCAGGCAGCAAGCTAGAAGTATACACTGTGAATTGAACGTGCTTGATGAAGTCACCTTGTTCATTTTGTCTTTGATTATACCCGATGCCTTCTCATCCCCAGCCTGCAGGCCCGCCTGCAGCTCTCTTCGTCGAGCGACCCAGCTCGTCGAAGCGAACGCGAGAGGTGGTGTTTCCCTCGGACATGGTCAAAGCGCGTAGGACACAGCATTTCGGCGACATAGACGATGAGTTTGCGCGAAAGCAGATATCGAGAAACTTCTTTGATCCACCCAGTAAGGCAACGCACACTCTTCGGAATCAAAACGAGCTCGCAAACCCGCACGACGACCAGTTGTATGACAACGACGATGCTTTTGTTGAAGATCATGACAGTGTTGAAGTGATCTACAGCGACGCAGAAGTGATGTTCTTGGGTGGGAGAGAGGCTGGACGAGCACTGGAACACGACGAGACGATGGATCGGCCAGCAAGAGATTTCTTACCGTGGGAGCTTGGTGGTGAAGGTCGTGGGCGTGAAGGAAGAAATTCTAGAAGGTAAACGGATCAAATTCAGTTTCGTGTATGTGCTAGCGCTAGGCGCATAATCTCTAGTAGTAGCGCTTTCCTCGTCTTCATTGTCCTTCGCCTTTGATGTGAGTGCCCTAGTTGACCACTTCATCACCACACCAGATCCCGAGGAGCTGCTCCTGTATCACCAGCAACCTCCTCTTCGCGACATCAATATGTAGCAAGTGGCACACTCCCGTCCACGCCTGCCTCCGGTGCGCCGAACACCTCCCCGAGTACCACACGGAGATCGCGAAACCATACCCGTACGCCGAAGAGTCAACAAAGGAACCAGTATGGAGCTGATCAGAGGACCTCTGACTACGACTACAGTAACCATTATGAAAGAAAAAAGTGCACTCACACCCAAAAAAAGTGGCTACTTTCTCACTTAAATCCTTATCCTAGCCAATTTCTTGAGTGTGAGAGTGAGTGCACTTTTTCGCTTCATAACCATAACCACTACAAAGCAGAAGATCAGGACCTCCAGCACCAAGAACAGCTCCAACATCCAGCGCACAAGTCTTCGCTACAGTTACAACTTGAGCGTGCAGAGCTCTTGTATCAGAATTTTGTCTCTCGCGTCCGCTGTTTCGGAGTTCATCACTTCACAGTGCCAATAATTCTCGAAGAATTAGGCCAAATGGTGAATGGTGCTGCTTTAGGCAGGATTGAAGCTGGTAAAATCTGTTTGGTTTGTCAAAGAGTCGAAGGAAAAGGGATTTTTAGCTTTGCTTGGTTTTAATATCGTGGATCATAATATTATGTGGATATTACGAATATGGAGATGGACTTTCTTTTCACTTCTAATCAACATGTGAAACATGTTTAGGTGAGCTGGTTGAAGCCCGCACGCTTCTTTTGGTCGCTGAACGGCAAATGCATGCAATCGGAAAACAGTTTTACGACTGTCTCAAGAAGAGCCCAGTGATTCCACGAAGCGGCGCAACGACTCCAACTTCTTCTAGTGGAGGCGGACGCCGCAGAACGCTGCGACAAGGCTATGCGCTATTCGCATCATTAACGCTCAACAATTTGGCCAGCTTGGAACGAAAAATTCGGTCGGAAGAGGTGCTTCATAGGGACCAAGACAAGGATGAAACCGACGCTCAAGTAGATCAAGACAACCATCAAGAACAACAAGACCACACTGATCATCAGGGAGCTGCTCCATCATCTTCATCCCCTTCCTTCCCATCCTCTTCATCCAACAAGGCTAAACAAGACACCAAGCACCTTCACCGTGCTCTGCAATATTTGACGGCGAGTCGAATGTGGGTCCCTGAACTGCCTCCAGCTGATGCGGCGGCAACGTTTTTGAACTTGTCGGCTGTTCTTAGTGAACTCAACCGCCATGACGAGGCTGAGGAAGCAGCAATGAATGCCGTGCGACGGAGCGAGCAAGACATAATGCGGTTGTCAAGCATCACGCCGGAAGAGTATTTTTGTCTTTCTACCTCGTCCTCGTTGTTCAATTCGGGTGCTAACACAGTATCCATTGCCGTATTCTTTTACTGGCTCACTCATATGTATAAAAAACAAAGCACTAATGTTGGTTGTTCCCTTTTTAATACTATTGTGCATAATTTTTTGAAAAGAATTTTGATTTATCTTCTGTTCGTCTATCTTGTTCTTCCCCTTTTCGTGCAGTATTCCGTACTACCTAGCCCTCCTCCTCCCACCATCAGATACGCTTCCAAAGTGGCTTCTTTAGCCGTCGCTTACAACAACTGGGCTGTTCAGAAGGAGCTTCTCGGTGGTACCTCTGCGCAGTGTCCGAACGACGCCCTCGAGCTCTATCGCAAAGCTTTGATGCTCGCCACAGAGCACCTCCATCCTAGACATCCGCTACGCCAGAAATTCGAAGCCTCTGTTACTGCAGTGGTAGAGAGGAATAGGAGACTCCAGGATCAAAACTATGATGACGCTGTGCAAAGTGGAGGACGTGCAGGTGGAGGCTCAAGGGTAGCTGAAGAGTGGTGCGCATGGATCGCGAGAAATCGATCAGCAGATGGAACATCAAATGCAGTTTTACCTCACGCGTCAACATCAACTGACCAAGCGCGAAGAGAAATGCGGGAAATAACACCTCCAGCACACCAACAAATAGTGCACAAGGCGAAGCCCGACGGCATTGAAGACGAGCAGGAACAAGAACAAGAATCTGCCTACAGTCCACCGGACATCTCTCGTACTCCAGTTGTGACGTCTGGCGCCGCAGAGGCCTTGAGACTCCGAAACTCGACTCCCGAAAACAGTAGTCCTAAGGAGAAACTCCTAGCTCGCTTGATCGATTGCTCGCCACCGTCAGCAGCTAGAACAAATGCTACGGAAGATTGCGACGCTGCACGTAGCGACCAGAAGGAACATGTGACGACTTCATCATGGCTTTCTCGAGTCAGGGAATCTTTAGAGAAGGACCTAAAACAAGCCTCGTTACTAGAAGAGCGAGAGCAGGACGCAGTTGATGACGAAACAAGGAAAGACGAAGACCACAACATTCCTTCAGCTCCAACAGCAGCTCCGCCTTTACTCAGTAGTCCTAACAAGAGACGACGAGAGCGAGAGTCTCAACAACTTCCTGCATTGCCTTTGGCTGCTCCCTCATTTGAGCCTCGAGAGATGACGCAGCTGACGACGCCTGTAGCAACGCCTATTCCTATGGACCGTGGTGACACGCCGCACATGATGGCGATTTCTAGCATCATGGCGCTTTCTAGTAAGCTGACTTCTGGCCGCCGCTCTGGGACAGTGGAGACGCCGACTTGTGAGAAGGTTACTGGAGGCGGGGGTGCGACAGCATCAGCGGCAACATCGAAAATGTCCGCAGCAGCTGCATCAACCTTCGTCAACAGCAACGCCAGAAAACCCATTGTCGTGCCACGGCTAGCCTTTTTGTCAGGAGGACCAGCGAGTGTTTCTACCACTGATCATGGAGAAGCTTCAAGCAGTAGTTCCTCTGCGGTTGAACAAGCTGGTGACGCTTCATCTTCGTGTTATCCACCAGTGGGCGTTGAACAAGACGACAGTCCTACATCGGAGCAAGAGCCGCGCACGTCTCTTGCTGACGGTCGTGCATATTCCTTTGCAGCATTGCAGCCTTCTGATTCTCATAAGTCTGTCGGTATTGGTGACCACAGAAGAGCTTTCAATGCGTCTTCATCCTTACGAATACCACCAATAGTGAAAAACTCTGCTAACAACTCGACAGCTGCACTACATCATAAGGCCTTTGGACTCGGCTCCCCGTTACTTGCCTCCTCGAGTGGCGCACCTAGTTGTAGAACAGAGTGCTCGACCACGACTCATGCGTCAACACGTCCGGCACTGTTGCCGTCGCTGAAGGTCCCGTCTCTTGCTAGGGTCAACTCTGGCGCAGGAGGAACTCAGCCAGCACACCTTCAAGGTCCATCCCAGGCACAACCTGGTCCAGGCGCAAATAGTTTTATCATCAACTCCGCTCGCAGTACAAACAGTCGACGTCGCGTGCCTGGTTCACCATTGACTCTTTCGCAGGCAGGTTCGCCTCGCCGTCAACTGCAAAAGCTCCCAACGCAAGAACAAGACTCAAGAACAAGTTTTCATCTTACTTCACCCGGAATGGTTAGTGCAGCCGTGTCGTCAAAATTACTCGGAGCACCGCATGATTCTACCCCTCAGCTACAATTAGACTCATCTTCTTCGTCTGGCTTGATGACGAAAAGTCTCTCCGGCCGTTCGGTAGCACCAGCGGTGGAAAAGCCAATGATAAAGACAGTTCTCGGCATGCCGAATTTTCAGATGGGCGGATCGTCTAGTTCGGATTCACGACAACAATCCTCCACTACTTCCGGCGCTTCTTCCAGTCGACGTGCACGTAGAACGGTGGACCAAAGTCGCGCGGCTGGTAAGATTCAAAGGTGGTTTCGGAAACGCCTGGACCGTGACGCTGCTCGGATCTCCGAACAAGATGAAGGACAGGAAGAGAGCCAAGAGGCAGACATTAATATGGCCGCAGAAGACCAATGTGTCCAACAAGCGGCAGCAGACGCTATCGCCGCCGTCGAACAAGAAAGACTAGCGGAATTAGCACAACAGATTCTCCGTTCATCCTCCGCTCGGCCCATTCAACGTGTGTGGCGGCAACACCGTTCCCGTAGAAAGCAGAAGAGGACTGCAGCTGCACAGAAGATCCAAGCGAGCGTGCGGGCGCATAACCAGCATCGGCGTCATCACGTCTATCTCAGGAGACGAAGGAAGATTGAGGCAGAGTTGACCTTTGAACGCTTCGCGGACTGGAAATTCTGGTCCACAAGGACGCGCACACGTGAGAAAAGCGAAGCTGCCGCAGCGATACAAGCGAAAATGAAGAACTACGTAGACACAGACCTACTTGGGATTTTGCGAAAACACCAAAAAGAAAGAGACGAAGCAGAACGACAATTACGTAGAGAAGCCGCGATCGCAGCACTGTGTGAGTGCGCGCGGAAACGTCAAAACACGGAGGCCATGCGAACAGCGGTTGGTCAGCTTGCGCTCCACGCAAAGCACACAAAACACTGCCAATCCTTCCTCGTCGTCTTCTTCGCTCATCGTTTTCGCCATGTCTGGCCTCGACGTGCTCGTGGACGACGCGCAGCGGTGATTCAAGCTTTTGCTCGGGGATATCAGCTACGGAAACGCTTACTATCAGATGATGCGTTTGTCCACGTGTTTAGCGTGGTCAAAGACGTATCGGAAGGTGCTGGACGGCGTGTGGTGCTTGTGGCGAGCAGGAAGTTTGCCAATATTAGTAAAAGGACGCCGCGAGGAGAAGTAGAGCAGGAAATGGAGCAGGACTTATCTTCAAGTACATGGCGAATCGAAATTGCTGACTACTCCAGAGTCTTAGATCAGCCCTCCAAAACTCCTTCAAGACGCAGCAGGAGAGCCAGTGCAGGAGGCGACTTCAATCCTGGCTTAGCGGAAAAGCGTGCTATTGCAACTCAGGCTGTCTTCACTAGTGCACTGCTACGAGGAGCAGCGCCAGATGCAGTTCTGTTTCTGTCGGATTCGGAAATGGCGGGAGAGAAGAGAGCGAAGAAATCCGAATCTACGCAACCAGCACTTCTCGCAAAAGACTTTCTCTCTACCTTGCCAGTGGACAAGGTCTTGGCCGCCAGTTTGTTTTCTCGAGACGAGGATACAGAGTCTGGCGCAAAGCTCCTGTTCGGACTGCAGAGTTTGAACAGGAATTTAGTCGAGCGTCAAGATCGGTGGACTAGCGCCATTTTACCGAAGAGAGACACAACGACTGCTGTGTCAGAGGCGCCGACTCCGACTGCACCAGCACTAGCCAGCACTAGAGTACTTACAAGAACTGAACCATCTTCAGATGGAGTTGCATCAGTAGCGGCCACTAGAGCACTTACAACTGAACCATCTTCAGTTGTAGAAGCGGAAGACGAAGCGATCGAAGAGACCAAGAAGGCGCCAGAAGAGGTAGACGGCGTTTGCGCTAGTCGACGGCTGATGCACGAGGACGAGATTTGTTCACCATCCTCTCGTCCTCGTGCATCAACAGCCGTGGTCGAAGAAGTGCCATTGGCTGCTAGCACGGAAGTAGAAGTACATCATAGTTGTGTCTCTAAAAATACTAGCACATCAACTGAGACTGAGTCTACTCAGGACGTAAAACCAGCGGAACAAGAACAACAAAGAGCGAACCCAGAAGCACGATCCTCTCCCACATCATCGTCACAACCATCCTCACATCAAGCAGATCCGCCATCTGCACGAGCATCGCCGTCAGATGGTGCTACACCCTTCACATCTACTCAGGACGTGAGTGCGATGCTACTTGCGCGAGAAGAGGTAGAGGATCCCCATCACGAAACTTCTACCCTAAACCTTACTTGTAAACCTCCTGAGGTCAGAGCCGCAACCTGTACGTCAAAAACGACTGCTGTTGGAGAGTCGAGTACATCGACACCACCCATTATACAGGAGGATGAAGATGACGAAGAAACTACGTGCTGTCAAGAAAATCTAGATCCTGGTGAGAACGATACGTCAAGATCGTCACCAAGACCACCACAACACAGACGCGGAGTAAATGAAGATCAACAGCCAACTCTGTCTCAGCGTTACTCGGGATTTGACACGAAAGACCTAGCTAAAAAGGTTGATGAGCGGATGCGGTCATCGATGGCGTCATCCGCGGCTAACGATACAGCGAGAGCTGAAAAAGATGTGGCTCTTATGGGAACAAGTCAGAAATCCACAAAAGAGGAACTACAGCACGTAGAAACCCCGCCTTTGGAACCTGCGCAGCCACCGCTAGTAGACATTCATGATGAGCACGATCAAGTTAGTCCACCGCTTCTGCGAAGGTCAGGTGCTGAGCAGAGAGGTGCTGCCATAGCGATAGAAGACGAGTTTAGTGCCGAGAAGGTAGAGAATGCTGTGAAAGTAGAAGAAGCTTCTGAGGCAATGGCAACAACGACGACACGAGAAGGTGGGAAGTCTACTGGTGACCACAACGAGCATCAACAGGATAAGCCTCTGACCATAACTACAAAGAGCGAAGAGAATTATCCGACGCAACACCAGGTGCAACTAGTAGAGGCTGAAGAAGCATCTTCAAAAATGCCACCTGCAGCACCACGTCCAGCTATGAAAGCTGAACCAGTACTAGTTGATGCTCCACTCGCACCAGCTCCTCAACCAAAATCAAGCGGTGCTTGGGAAGATTTGATGGACGAATTGGAACTGTATGAGAACGAAACAGGAGGTCCAAAAATTCTAGGAAGAACTACAACTACGGTTCTTGACCAAGATGCAGAAGACGACCTCCAACTAGACACCAAGAGGACCTTAATCCTACCATCGCCGCACATAGAAACTATAGCTGGAGTGGTGTCTCCTGCAAGGGGAAGAAGTAGTGGCATTCTTGGAAAAGACGTAGACGTACTAGGAGTTGTTGAAGGGCCGCGAAGTCGGAGTGGTACAGCTACTGGAAGTTGTGATCGTGGAGGAGCACAACAAGTAGTACAACACGACTACAATCCGAACGACCCTGCTGCTGCTCAAGAAAGATTCCCTTTCGCAGCTCCATCGGCAACATCAGCTACCGCCGAAATCATGCTAGGAACAAGCAATGCTCCTGCTGACGGAGGACAAGCCAATGGAGGTGGCGAACTAAGGATGCCCTGGCGCTGTAGCGATTGCAATTTTCTAAATGAAGTGAGCCCAGATATGTGCGTCATGTGCGATCACATGCGGGTCGCGGCGCCACAGAGACCAAGATCCTCGAAAAGTAGATCAGCAGGTGCTAGTGCAGGTACTAATACAGAGATACGTGAGCGTGATTTTTATAGACGTTCCATTTTGAAATGTAGGTGTCCGTATCTGAGCGTGATTTTCAAAGACGTTCCATTTTGAAGTGTAGGTATCCGTATCTGAGCGTGATTTTTAATGACGTTCCATTTTGAAATGTAGGTATCCGTATCTGAGCGTGATTTTTAATGACGTTCCTTTTTGAAATGTAGGTATCCGTATCTGAGCGTGATTTTTAGAGACGCTCCATTTTGAAATGTAGGTATCCGTATCTGAGCGTGATTTTTAATGACGTTCCATTTTGAAATGTAGGTATCCGTATCTGAGCGTGATTTTTAGAGACGCTCCATTTTGAAATGTAGGTATCCGTATCAGTATACTAAATCAAGTAGTTCCATTTTGAAATGTAGGTATCTTCCGTATCAGTATACTAAATCAAGTAGTTCCATTTTGAAATGTAGGTATCCGTATCTGAGCGTGATTTTTAGAGACGCTCCATTTTGAAATGTAGGTATCCGTATCAGTATACTAATAATCAAGTAGAAAGTCCAAATTCCATTTCTGCTGCGTACAGGTCCTCCAACGGCAGCCTCAGCTGACAGCATCGCCAAGAGAAAACGTGCTGCAACGAAAGGCGAGGTCGCTTCTTTCTCCAGGGTGCAGCAGATGAAGGCTTCTTATCAAGGTGGAGACGACAAGTTGTATACGCAGATGTTTAGGACTAGTGCGGATTTTTACAATAAAGCAACAGGCGCTGCACTATCCTCTGCTTCATCTGGTGGCACCTCCAATACAACAAAGACGCGACCCAGAAGTGCCCATCCGGCCACGAATAAACGACCGATGAGCGCAACTTCTACTAGATCTTCGCAGGCAGCGAGACCGTCGAGTGCTACTAGGGCAAAAGACTCCTACAGGGATCCACAACCGTTTTGGAATACTTTGCGTTGAGGTCCACAACCGTTTTGGAATAGTTTGCGTTTAGGTCAACTTGATGCAGTATGATTTCTGCTTGCAAGAATCCTAGAACTAGAAGTTGTAGTGGAACACAGAGACGGAATGTTGTACTATGTTTTCAGAACAGTCATTTTGAGCACTAGCTTTTTTTAAGACAAACTACATTGATGACGAAGGTCTATTGCTATTTGCTTATTCTTATCCTGCGCTTGTTTACTTTCCCCCGACCTTGATGTCCAAATCTGGCGCTACCACGTTTCTTCATTTGCCGCATACCTTCAGTGGTTCAAGTCGATCTCTGAAATATGCAAAGCACTAATGGCTGTTCCTTTTATCCTGCGCTTGGAGTAGGAGTTCAACTCCCACATGCTTTGAACGATGGAACAATTCGATCAGTTCTAAATTTTCAATTCTACGACAACTACAGAGAATAAAATATCGTAGTTAGTAACAAGTTTCTAGTACTGCCTGTTCCTGTTTCTTACTTCTTGAAGATAAGATTGTGATTGGCCACTTTTGTTTATGAAAGAACGAAGTATGATTTGAGTAGAATGAATCCATGAAGTACAAGCTCATGGGGTTTCGTAAATTACCACGTCATACTTGGCAGAACTCTCTCGTATTTCTGTGTTACTTGCCATGTTGTGACGATGAACAACAACGCCACCTTGTGCACAGTCTTTTGAAATAAAGAAGATAATTCTTATCGTTTCGAATTGGCGCTTGAAACTCCTGGCCAGCTAAGGATTGACCTTGTTGAAACTGCTGGTGGTCGCCGTTTCTGACATTCTTGTGTCGTACTACTGCATGTTGAAAAATGAGTATGAGATATTTAGATCACTTATCATGCAAGATCCCGATTCCTCGGTAGCAAGACCCTGATCCTTTCGTATCCTACTACTAGCGTTGATCTTGATCTTCCTGAGATCCATTCGCCTTGCATGGGGATGGTAATGGCCAAAAGTTCAGATGAGGCTGAGATCTCCTTTGCTGATCCTCTAGTCGTGGAGAACGTCAAGGACCTCTAGTCGTGGAGAACGTCAGATCCTCTAGTCGTGGAGAACGTCAGATCCTCTAGTCGTGGAGAACGTCAATTCCTCTGTTGTTCGTGTGAACTTTTAATCTTGATTTCCACAAACTCAACAGGACAGCTTAACGCGACGGAAATTGTTAAAGCCTTGCTCTACTTCCTTCTTCTTTTCATATTTTCTCTTTTTCTTAAATCATCGTTTTATTTTTCAATCAGAGACTGAGAAAAGATGGAATTGGTCGACAGCGGAATCCGTGAGGGTAGCGCCCAGATTTTCAGCGTTTCTGCATCTTCAGCCTCTACCTCCAGCTCTGGTCCCGCCTCAACCAAGAACAATGGCACCACCACAAACAACGACAGCAGCAAGCAGGATGCAGGTCGACAGGAAGTGTTTTACAACCCCGCTCAGGTCTACAATCGGGACTTGAGTGTTGTCGTCCTCTCCGCCTTTAGCGTGATGCGCCGTGCCGAGGAGGAAACACGGGAAAAACAGCGAATTAAGCAAAAGAAAAACCCTCTCCCCGAAAACTACCAAGGTATGGCCATCCTAGAAGCCCTAGCTGCTTCAGGCCTACGATCTGTCCGCTACTGGAAGGAAGTCCCCGACGTCAAAAGCATCGTCGTAAACGACTTTGACGCTACTGCAGTCGAGCACATGAAGAAGAATTTGCAACGCAATGGCGTTATCTCGACTCCACCAAATGCGAGTGTCGACAAAGTGCGACCAAACCATGGGGATGCGATTCTGCATTGCTACACTGAGGGGTACCGCATGTACGACGTGATCGACTTAGATCCTTACGGAACTGCCTCGCCGTTCTTAGATGGCGCAATCAGGGGAATCAAGAATGGGGGTCTACTGTGTGTCACGTCCACTGATATGCCAATTCTAGGCGGAAACCATCCTGAAACCTGCTTCTACCGCTACGGAGGGACGCCGTTGAAGGCGCCGTACGTTCACGAGATGAGTCTGCGGCTCTTGTTGAATTTATGTTCACTCCCATCTTGTCTTGAACTGTTGAAGATTCTTTAGAAGTAGTTGCACCTAGAAGATTTACCACGAGTTCTCCTTGAGGAGCTATGAATTTACTCAACATAGGACACTGTAGATGGTGCTAGTCGTCGTTGTTAATACTAGGGTGAAATGGAAATGAATCACAATCAAGAATCACATTTACTATAACTGCTTAGACATCACGTGATCGTATGATCGATATTCCAACATTTTTCCCTCCTTCCACCTCCTCTAATCCGCGCCCTTGCCTCCACTGCTGCTCGTCATCAACGCGTCATCGAGCCACTGCTTTCGGCCAGTATGGATTTCTACATTCGTGTCTTCGTACGTATTCGGGATTCGCCTCTTCAAACCAAGGACTTAGCGAAAAATACCGGTGTGGTTCTTCAGTGCGTCCACTGCGAGACTCATCACATGCAACCAATGGGAGAACAGGAGATTCCAGCGAAAGCGGGAGGTGAGCAAGCGAGCAAGATGACGCAAGGACAAGCTAGTACCACTACTAACTCCGGTGGTGGTGATTCTAAGAACCAAGAGGTAGGAAATGTCGCGCGGCACGAAACTGAAGAGGCTAGTGCAAAACCAGAAGAAACAGCCTCTGAATTATCTGCCCTAGATCCCCGTCTTCAGTCTCTCCTTGATTCCGCTCGCACAGAACGCGTCAATGCCCAAGCGATCAAGGGTTTGAAGTATCGTTCTGCGAAGATGAATACGCAGGTTGGAGGAAGTTGTGACGAGTGCGGATCCAGATTCGCCATTGGCGGACCCTGTTGGCTAGGACCGTTGCATAACAAGGAGTTCTTGAATGCCTGCATTGCCTTGTGCGAAATGAATGAGAAATACACTGTTGAAGAGAAAGAACAATTGAAGGCTGCGATGGGAATGAAGGGAGGGAAGAATCATTGTCATGCTCCTTCAACTACTATTTCTGAATCTGAAAAGAATCCAACTGCAGCTGCTGGACAACAAGAAGAAGAACCATCACCGAAGAGAGCAAAGGTTGTAACTAGTACAGTTGCTGAAAGAACTGCAACTAGTCGTGCAGCTACCGCAAATACTGCAGCAACTTGTAGCGCAGGATCAGACGCAGCAAACATCCGCAACGCATTAACCCTCCCGTACATCACTCAGTGGAGGAAGATCCTAGGGATGGTCACAGCGATGAGCGAAGAGCTCGGAGACGTACCTCTCCACTACAGTCTTCCAGCCTTGTGCAGAAATTTGCGTGTCGATTGCGTTCCTATGCGCCAGTTTCGAGGTGCACTAGCGAAATTGTGCTACCGCGCATCGCACTTCCATCGCGATGCTAACGCGATCAAAACGGACGCGCCACCACGTGTGGTTTTCGACTTGGTGAGGCATTGGGCAAAGCAGAGAGGTGGAGGTGGTCCGAGTGCGGAAGACGAAGCGGAGGACAGCACTACTGCAAAATCCAACAAGAAATTGAGCAAGAAGCAAAGAAAACTTCAAAAAATGAACAATGGTGTTGCTTCTAGTGGTTCAAATAATCAGGACGACAAAGCTCTAGAAGCTTCAAATTCCGCAGGCGCAACCAGCTACGAAGACAAGGTGAAACGTATGGCATCGCGAGAAATCGTTACTGAAGGCGTATCTGACATCGTTTTCGAAGACATGGTTGACGCTGAAGTCGCTACCAGTTCGAAAAAAGTTGCAAAATTTCTTCCGAACCCAACAGCAAACTGGGGTCCCAAACCACGTGCCAAACCGGTCGTGGCCGCGTCCAGTGAAGGAGGTGATGAATAGCTGAATCGGATGATTGTCTTTCGTCTTTACTTCAAATCACTCCTGAAGATGTCAGTATGTTCATCATTGCACTGAATTTAGTAGACGAAGACGATTCAATGTTGACGAAGACGAAGTCGATTCAATGTACTAGCACAACTCTGAACTCTCAACAGCGACATGCCCTTCTCCAAAGATTCGCTCTCCTACACCTACCCAGAGAGTCCTGGCGCTGGCGATGGCTAGTGACACAATAAAATGTTTATGATTGATGTCAAACCTTGCAACATTGCAAAAAGAATGCGCACGATTTCGACTTTTTCTCATGCCCTTATGGAGCTGATGTGCTCCGCCTGTACGCTAAAAAAGTGCCTGGTGTTTCTTACAGAGGGTCTCGATCTACTTTCCTCGTTGAGGGTCTACTTGTACTTACTTAGGAGGGCTTCACTACTTGAGGCTGAGCTTCTCATGCATGAGAAAGCAGCGGTGGAAGAGATCCAGCCACTTGATCAAAGATGCTAGAAGAAGGCAAAGATGCTAGAAGAAGGCAAGGATCCATGATCTAGAAATGAAGATCTTTCATGGCGACCAAGATGATCAAGAAAGGCCTGATCTAGAAGACGGTGAAAACAAGAGATCAAAGAGGGAAAAGCCACTAACGACATCGACATCGACGTCGCAGATTTGCTTTCAAAAAACTAAAACAGTTCGTTGTAACAGGAATTTGCACTAGACTGCGGGTATCCAACATGTTCTAGATTTTACGGCTTTTTCATTGATTAGATAGCATTTTTAGATGAAGATAATACACCTCCTCGTCCTCGCGTAGAAATGGATAATAAAGATAAACTGAATCGAACAAGCTACAATTACTGAGTTTTCCGTTTAGATTGATTTGCAACAGAAAATTCCACCTTTTTATCAGCCTACTTCTTCACTAGCAGCACTTGCCCACGTCCTAGTACCTCGAGCATTATCTATCTGGTATGTCTTCGCCCTTCCTTGATTCTGATAAATGATTATTCTTTTATAATCAAGAAGAGGACACCGACACCGGCAATATCGTCATCAGGATCAATAGTACTCGTTAGTATTGTCTTTGGCTGCACAAACAACATTGCTAATTCAGAGAAAATCATTTTCTCTTTCCGTTTTTTAATCAATTAAACACCAGCATTTTATGGCATACCTATGTATTATATGCGCACACGACACACATTCTAGCCCACACACATTATTTTTCTTGCATCTTATTCTTAGACATAAACCCATATATAACTAGAACTACAAAGAGCTAAATATGTAAAGCAACACCTTTAATAGGCTATTAATCCTAAACCTAACAAACTACACTCGCATTGACAACTGACTCTGACCACTATTCATAAAGAAGAACAAGATGACTCGTTTGAGTACAACACTTCCAGCACTACCACGCACGGCCGTTGTGGCGTGCGTTTTCATCGTATCCTTCTACGCAGGTGACGTATTTGCCGTTAACCCTAAAACGCAATGCGATGACTTCCTTAAGGAGTACCAAGACGCGAAGCGGGACATGAAGATGAAGCTTCTGGGGTACTCGGCTGAAGACTTCCAGAAGGGTCCACAGTCTTGGTTCGGTCTGGACGGAAAGGGAGGTAGCGCCGGCGATGAAAGAACCAAGCGGAATCTACAACGCTTTCTATTAAGACTTACTTTTATTCATCTTAAGAGGCATCTTTGATCCCTTTTTCAAGAGGGAACTGCGTCAAAGATGCTTTCCAAGATGAATAAAAGTAAGGTCTAATTCTAGTTTCTATAGATGAACGCGATCGCGCTGCCGCTAGAGGGATGAATAACAGCTTTTCTGCTTTTCGTGACATTGTTGAGAACAAGTTGCTTCCTTCTTTGGCTGAAGAGGCGAATAATCCTGAAATCGTCGAGGAGAACTTGAACAGAGAGTTTGAAACACGCATCAAGCCAGTGATCGAACGAATCGAACAGAATACGTCGCAATCGTCCCCACAGCAGAAACATAAAAACTTGCAGCAAATGCAACCGCACTTGTTGCGCTCTTGTGACAAGCTTCGGGCAATCCGGGACCTCATGCTGCGAATGCGAGAAGCCATTCTGACACGCGCTAACTATCAGAGGACTTGTCGTTGTGAACGAGCTGTTATCTTTGGAGATGGTACTAGTCGTGGTGGTGCTTCAGAAGCAGAATCAGAAGATGGAAAAAAGATCAATCCGCGGCAGGAACGTGCACCTCGAACAAACCCCTGTGGAGGTGTTAAGAAACCTCATGGTGCCTCCGACGCTGGTCACATCCACGCAAATCGGGTCTACCTAAGCTGGTTAGACCAAGTGTCGACGATACTAGAAACGACCCGTGCGGAAGGAGTGGTAAGAACCTGCAAGAGGATAAATGAGGCGTATCAAGATGCACTGAGCAACTGCTCATCTGCTGCGGGTCGTGATAGTCAGAAGAAGCCAGCTGCATACGCGCAAGAGGAACTGGACGACGACGAAGATGAACTTGGAGACTCCTCTCCAGCAGACTCTGGTGAAGGTGAAAAAGCAGGATCATCTCCACACGATGATCCAGATCCTTCAGGAGCACTTCTAAAAAGAAGGAGCACTTCTAAAAAGAGGTCGTCCTGGGAGTGGTTAGAGCCTACCGCTTTGCAGAGCAAACTTGACGAAGAGAAGGCTAGCAATCCTGCATTTAGAGCGTACCTAGAGGAGTCTCCTGCTATTAAAGGTGAAGTGGGTTGGGAGAAGGCTCCTCAACGTCAACAGCAGAATTATTTGGAAAAAGAGTTAGGCGAGGTGCTTAAACTATGGGAGAAAGCGTCACAAAAAATGCAACGAGAGGTAAAGAAGAAAGCTACTGAATGGCTCGTCGCCTTCGAGAATGCCATCTTTGAATCCTTAGAATACGAACGGCAAAAAGCGCAGGAGGAAAGCTGGAAGAAACTAGCTCTTGAGTTTGAGAAATTCGTCACTCGCTTTATGACTGTCCAACAAGAAGTTCAACGAGGAGCCGATCAAGTTGATAGTCTTAAGACTGCAAAACCAAAAGAGGAAGAGCCACGGCCTCCTTCTCCTTTTCCCGCCTCACCAGGAACGAATCAGCTCCAAAATAAGCGGCTTCCCTCTTTCGCAATGATGCGATTTCAGGTTAGGCGCATGACGAAACGATTTGCCGCAGAACCTGAAGAATTGACGGCTGGGTTCGTTCTCCTCCGCTCACCCCACAGCCCTTATCTGGTGACAATGTCCATTATAAATCTACAAGACGACAAAATGTCAAGAGTCGCAAAAGCTAACTACTTGCTCAAAACTACTAGGAAAAGTAGAAAACAAGAAGAAGCTACTGGAGCAGCTAAAGAAGGACAAGAAGCTAATCCTCCATCTGAGAATCCTATTGTTATTCGTTTAGCTGGACACGCGAATCTGCTCAAGCGGGAACTGAACGACACTTTATCTGAAGACGAAAAGAAGTTGCTGTACGATGCAGGTAGGATAACGAGAGCGCTTTATTATCCCAGTGGACCTCGCGGTTCGGAGTGGGCTTTCAGCCCCAATCACTGCGGCAGCTACAAAGACGCTAAAACTGACGAAGAAATCTATGAAAGAGCTCTCTCGAAAGCAAACGAAGATGCTGAAAAAGAAGACGCGAAATTAGATCAAGTAACACCAGATGGAAAGTATTACTGTTACAACAACGCAACTTCTACGGGAGGTCCACCTCGCGGTAGTACAGGAACAAGAGTCCTTCCTCGTCTCCGTGACCTCCCATTGAATGCTGTAGAGCAGTTTTTACTAAACGAATATGAAGTAGATTGGAAAGCGCAGAAGTATGGGCAAGGAAACGGTGGGACTTATTCGAAAGAGTTCCAAGTTCTCAATCCTGACGCGCTGGATAAATTTTGGACGAAAAATTTTAATTCTAGTTATCCGGGGGCGAAGGAAAACTTCTTCTTGGCGTATCGGCATCCGTCATCCCAAATTTCAGAAGTGACGTTGTCTTTTCGCATTTTTCGACGAATTTTCTTGAGGAGGTTCTACAAGATGTTTGGCACGAAAAAACAAGTGCTTCCAGAAGAGTGGCTGGTGCACGACGAGAAGCTTGAAGAACAAGATGAAGAAGATTACAGCGATGACGAAGACGATGAATCAGATGAAGATGATGAAGACTCTTCCCCTTCAACAGGTTGTAAAACAGACCATAAAACACGCGCTAGTAGATTTGTCCGGAAACTTTGGATTCAAATGATTGTGTACTTCGCGGAGGGAAGGTTTGAACGCAAGGAACCTGGCGATCACGAATTACTTATGACCGTTCGCGATCACGTCAACAACTACTTGGTGCGACCTCTCGTCCTTGCTATTGAGTTAAAAGACGAGCATCCTATTAACAATGCACCAAGACCACATGGTCCTGCAGCAGGAGAACACGCACAAGAAAGATTTCCTCCACAGGCTTCAGAAATTCCAGACGTTCATCCAAAAGTTGGACAAGAGCAAGAACTACCAGGAGGCGACCTTACCTCAGTTAGCACACTTCCACAAGGACAAGTACAAGATGGTACACTTCCACAAGAACAAGGACAAGGACAAGATGGTACACTTCCACAAGAACAAGGACAAGGACAAGGACAAGATGTTGATGATGAAGAATCAGAAGGTAATACCGATAGGCTTCCACCTCGTCTCCCAGAAGATGCAGTACTGGATGACCATGTTGAAGAACTACGAAAAGCACAAGAAAAAGAGGAAGAACTACAGCACCAACACCACCCAGAAGTAGAAGAAAGAGAACGTCTTCCAGTTCATCCTCAAGATCGAGAAACGTTCTTTCCACCTCCTTTATCGAAAGAACAAGCTTCTGCCTTATTGACGCCATCGGAAGCGATATCGACGCTCATCGATGACTGGTTCGCAGACCCAGAAGATCCTACCAATGTCGAGAATCGAACGAGTGGCGCTTACGATTTCCGTTTTAACACTGTAGTCTCCACTGAAAGAGATCGCCTCCCTTTCGAACAAGCTCGAGGACCACACTTGTTGCCGTCCTCCGCTTCTCCCGGTTCTGCAGCACTTCTAAGTGGAACACCAGGAGGAACAAGTGCTAGAAGTAGTGCTAGTGCTAGCCTAGCCGCTGGCACTGTAACAACTGCACCTTCTACAGGTGTAACTCCTTCTCCAACCTCTTCCCCACCTTTTTCGTCATCATTGAGCAACGTTCTCGTTTCCTATGCAAACTACGATGCTCTCGAGTTCGTAGAGAATTGGAGACAGTTGCCTCGCATGGACTTCAAGGCGAGACAAGATTCCTCTTCTGGCTATTCTTTCAATTATGGCGCGAGAACTACACATCAATTCATTTCTACAAGAACTCATTTCCCACTTGTTCCTTCTTAGGAATGGGAGAAATGCAGGCAAGTAGAAATGAATGGCTTGGAGCTCTAATTCGATATCTCCGTGACTGAAGCTGAGAGACGCGCAGGTCTGCTAGTTACCCTGAAACAGCACAGAGATTGGGCCTACGGCACCTCCTACCATGATTGGCAACTGGAGTGGAACAGGGCCCTGCATCGTGCAGTTATGGAGACGCAGGGAAAGGGAGACCTCCCTTCGGGACTAGTAGAACAGCCTTCTCTCTACTACCGAAGAGCTTATTGGCATCTACTCTACCCAAAGTACGCAGCACCTGCGCCAAAGGACGACAAGCCTGGTCCTCCAACGCAGTTTCTATCTCCGAGGACAGGAGTAAGTCCTAGCGCTAGTCCTAGTGCTAGTACACCACCTTCAGGCTCTAGCAAGAAGATGAAGAAGTCGAAGAAGAGTAAAAAGAAGAACGCTGCTAGTGATTCTGCCGCTAGTGATTCTGCTGCTAGTGCTTCTGGTGCTAGTGCTTCTGGTGCTAGTGCTTCTGGTGCTAGTGCTAGTGCTTCTGGTGCTAGTGCTTCTGTTCCTGCTGTGGTTCCGTCTGACTCAATAGTCCAGAAGAGTAGCGTAGAAGTCGACGTCGAGAAAATGGATAACATGTCCGAGGAACTCGAGAGGATGTTTCAGCCTTTTTTCAACCCGGATAATGACCAGCAAAACCTCGAAATCATGCAGCCTCTTCTCCTAGGAACCCCAGCTAATCGAAAGTGGGCGAAGAGATACGAGGAATGGCAGCAACAAAGAGCCGGCGTTGAGAGGTACAAGGTTCGTTTTGCTTCTGAATACCTCTATCCCGGAGAATATCTTGTTCTGCCAAATGAGAAAGCCTACAAAATGTGGCGGCAGAATGACGATGAATTTCTCCACCTTTTAGCGGAATATCGAGCTCTGTGGAGAAATTTCGCCTCCGCGCAAAGTAAGGTGTATCAACAGCTGAAGTATTTTCGGCAAACACGAGGCGAAGTTAACACGGAATTCACCTTCGAAATTCCTGCGGACGAGGTCGAGTTGGAATACACACCCTTCAAAACGATAGAGGAAGTCCAAAATGCTGTACTCAGCCGACTCGTCAAAGGTGTCAAGAAAGGAGGAGGAACAGAAGTTGCTGCTGGAGGTGAAGAAACCTCCGAAGAGAAGGAGGAAGAAGAAGAATACCAAGAGCGGCTGCTTTATTTCCAGGCCTTTCTGAAGAAAATGACTGCGGACACGAACGAAGTTGGGTATGAAGCGATCGAACCGAAAGACGAAGAGGTGCTCTTCGCATATATAACAGGGATACAAAAAGCATCAAAGACAGCACAGCGCGCAGATATGAACAACATGCTGGAGATACACATGAAGCAGTACGAGGAGCGACTCCGAAGTACAATACGTAAGAAAATAGATGCTTTCCAAAGTAAAGATTGGAAAACGTGGTGTGATGTCGAAGGATTGGATCATGGCAGATTTATGCAGATGCTGCAACAGAAGTTGTCTGTTGAGTGGAACGAAGTATTCCAAGAAAGCGTGGACCGAACTAAAGACATCCGACACCGAATCCTAACTCAATTTATGGCTCAAAAATATTCATTTCTTTACAGTTCCACTCTATCTAGAAATTTAGACTTTGGAAAGTCCCAGGTGCAGGTATGTTGCCTCATCATCAACACTTCTACTATCTGCATTTCTCTTCATCACTTTCTTAGGATTGGGAGAACTGCAGGCAAGTAGTAGAAATGCACTTAGGATTGTGAGCTCTAATCAATATGAAGCTATGCATTCGGAACAGGTATCGCAAGTCCTCAACCGAGAAGAAAACTGGCCCAAAATTCTCTATGAGCCGCCTCAAGCTCAAGCTGCTCCACTAGTTGAAAATAGCTGCTCCACTGCAAGACAATTAGTAACAGAAGCACTAGAAGAAATAGAAAAGACGAGTGACATCACGGACTCAGAAATGAAAACGGCGACTATGGGGCAACAACATGGTGACCACACAGGCACTGGCACTCGTCCTCGTGGCATAATTCCCCATGTTAGTAATCGCATGACGATGTCGATCCTTCCGCAGAGTGTGGCGCCTTTTCTTGTGGGTGGAGTAGAGAGCCCTACACCTGGTACTTTGTCGCTTCACACTATCTTTGATCCGATAGCTTGGAAAACGACTGCCGATTACTATAGAAGGGAGCATTATAGAAGAAGTCAGCATCGTGATGATGGTCATGAAGATCGGGTCCACGACCTGTTGGGTGGAGATCATGTTCTTCATGAAGATTCTGTCTCCGGTGCAGCGAGAAAAGGTCAAGAATCTGCTCCTGCTGGTGTGCAGAAGGAGATTGAGAGGAAGATGACGAGTTGTATGGAGGCCTCTCCCGCCTCTGCAACAGGAGGTGCGGAGCAAGGCTCTCCGATTTCTAGCTTTTCAACAACACGAACAGAAACAGGAGCACTCCAACAACATTCGATCGACGCAAGGGGTTTTCTGGGAGAGCATTTGCATATTGGAGACACCGTCTCACAGCTGGTGAAGAAATTGGCCTTCTGTGCTGCCACTGGTAATGGTACATTCAATCAGCGAAGGCACAAATCTCCGATTGCTTCTACCAAGGCCGTGAGGAAGATGTCGGCTGCGCAAAGAGAGGCTCATGACCTTGTTCGAGCACAAACTGCTTCGAGAGGCGGCATCAAGGTATCGAGAAGTACAAAGACCGCCCGCACTCCCCCATTGGATCAAACCGCCTACGTCATAAATGGCGCAACTAATGGAGGAATCGCACTGGTCTTTTCTTCCGCCGTATCAGAAAACTGGGCATGATAGTACCACTGGGTATACTCCGTATCAGGAAACTGGGGTATTACTTAGAATTTACTATACTAATCTTTCCGAGATGATGACGCCTACAACATGGGCAGGAGCCTAATCATCTTTTATAAAGAATGGATGAATGTTACAACTAAACTTCGTTTAACTTATTTTCACTCATCGTGATAGATCGTCTATTAACTTTTCAATCTCTCCTCTTATTCTTAATTATTTAGACTCAGAGTTAACTTGTTGTTGTTTTCTTCCTGCTGTAACGATTCTCGTCAACAACATTGACATTCTTATAATACAGAAGTAGAAAAAATTGATCGCAGCTTGGTGTTGGTGTAGTGTTGGACAGCGACAGTTTTACAATAGTTTGTAAGACCAACAAAATAGATATCGCAAAAGTAAAAGAAGAAGTCGTTCGCAAAAGTAGAATCTGGGCTGGACCACTGCTCGTCAAGCAGTGAGGTTTGTAACGGAAACGGTGATACGGATTCTTCGCCTCGTTCATCTCGTGTTTGCATCGCTGATTCGTGAAAGGAGAGTGAAGAGTTCGTGTTGTCAAAGAGCGCTAATGTTTTTTTGGAGCAGTCCTGCTTGAGTGCTGGACCGGTTTTGGACACCGGATATATCAGTTGAGAGACGCAAATTGGCGGTTGACACGTTGTGAGTAGAGAGTCCCGCTCAAGATTTTTTGTGCCCTTCCCTTGCTTTGTCCCGTCATGATTCCATCGAGGTTTTCAAGCACAAGTTCAAGTTCTCTACTTGAACTTGAAGCACAGCAGTTTTTCTCTGCTATGTCTCTTTGTAAAGCACAAGTTCAAGTTCTCTGCTTGAACTTGAAGCACAGCATTTTTTCTCTGCTATGTCTCTTTTTAATCCTCCACTTACAAAATAAAAATATGGCCCATAAGCATGTGCGACCACCTTCCGCAGATTCTTTCTCGTCCTGGTCTAAAGATTGCCTGACGGCGACGAAGATGATGAACATGAAGATGAGGTCAAAGGGGGAAGCTATCCGCTTCCGCGGATTGTTCTTTATGTACACGCACCTTCTGTTCTACTTCATCAACGTTGTTCCTAGTATTGCGGTAGCCGCACCTGCGAGTCCACCCGCAGCTAAAGCCAATCCTTCTACATCTACTTCGAGAAAGGCTTTTAGTACAACCACGACCTACTTGGACGCAGAGTTACACCTATTACGAAAAAAGGCCGACCTCCTCCGCAGCACCCTGGCAAACTTGAGTGAAGACAGAATATTCTCGGAAACGGATGAAGGCGAGCATGCTAGAAGTGGTGAATCCACATTAGAATCAGGGAAGCTTTTGATCCTTAGGAAAATAGATGAGGATGTTGTTGAGGAAACTCAGGGCACTCCTGTGGGGGCCGGCAATGAAACTACGGACGATCAGGATCGGTCGACTTCAAGAACACAAGCACCAGGAGCTCTCATTGATGTACCAAACATGCACAAACACGTAGAAGCAAAGCTCTTCCTGGAAGGAGGGGGCCATACGGATACCGATACTTCCAGTAAAAATATCGCTGCTGTCACCTACTTGGGTACGCGAGACCGCTATTTGATCGTCTTTCGCGATGGTACGTTTCGCACATGTGTGATAGCCACCTCGACGCAAAAAGACGGCAACTACACTCAACAACCGTCTGGAGAAGAGGACAACATGATCCAGCATACTCAGCCTGCGGTGGTGCAACTTCTCAACACATCATTTAGCTTTCTCCAGGAAGACGAAAGCAATGTTTCTAAACCAGAGGCTGAAGGAGCTGCACAGATAACGAAACGAAATCATGCGCGCGGAAATGATAATGAACGAGCAGAAGAACAAACAAAACAAGCAAACATCTTCAGAGAAGTCCTATCCATCACTGCTGTCCTATCACCACTCCGAGGTCTCGCATTACAACGGTTGCACGACACTGGCATTCTGCCAGTCAAAGAGCAGTTTAGTCTTGTCATACTCCAAGTCGCGACTTTGGGCGCCGTGTTTCCATTATTACTACTGATACGCTCAACCTGGACCTACCGTCAACCGGTTCTCCAAGTTTTGGCCAGTAAGTGGCTTGTGGGATTCAATGCAGAAGATGTGAGACTGCAGCAAGAGATGATGAATAATGGACGCGGGTGGGAGATCTTTCTTACGGGAAGTAGGAGTATCGGAGGACGAAGTGTAAAAATAGAGGGAGGACAAGAACAAGTAGTGTCTTCGACGTACAAGATTCAAATAGACAGTGAGGCACTTTCCATCAGACTTGCCTCTTTAGCGACACATGAAAGAACGGACCGTAGTCCTGCATCTTCTGGTGCGTCAACTTCAACAACCGCAACATCAGACTCACAGAACGATCAGAAAAATAGGCAACTCAACCACATCAACAAACCCGGTAGCAGTACTAGCAAAACGACTGAGGACTCGGATTCCCTCTTCAGCACATTCCTGCCAATGTCTCCCACTACCATGATCTGGTTTTTTCTACTGGACTATGACTCCGAGATCCTGACCTTCATCCTACTCGCAGTTGGTGTTTTCGTCTACCGCAAACTGGTATCCAAACTCTGCATAGTGTCGTATCTGGTAGGTCTCTCAGACGATATTTTCCTCGAGGAAGACGGCACTGACGATGAAGACGAGCCTCTTGTAGACCCCCAAGTTTGGCAAGACCCCTGCTGGCAAAGCGATCCGGCAAAGTTTCGAGAGCTGTACAATGCGATTTTAACTGGCGTAAAGGAAACACAATCGCAAGAATACGACTTGTTTGGGAATAAGCATAAGGTCGGTGGGGGTGTAGGAGGTCCTGCCGCTGGTGATAGTCGTGCTGGGGGGACTGGCAGTACTACCAGAGGCTTATTCAAACCTTCCAATATTAACGAGAATAGAAGTTTTGAGTCTTTAAGTGCTGTAAGTGGAAGAAACCCTTTCACACAATTCAATCCAAGATACAGGGATGGTGGTGCGACATATGCTAGAGATACTGCATTAAGTAAAAATGTTACAGATTATAGAAGTAACGAAGTCGAAGACTCTGAGATGGAGATGCTTGCACGTGCATTAAAACTTCAAGACTCTGAAAGAGAAAGCTTATCTTCTCACATGCGAAGACAGCGAAATTGATGCTATGATAAAGAGTCGTGGTCCGCCGAAATCTACATTGCATGTCGTAAAGCGATTGTTGCTCCTTGCTTTGTTTTCTGGGAATCGATCTACATTTGGTTTTAGGGGGGGGATGAAAAATGGCAAAAAAAATGTGTTGTAAGATGTTTGATGATTTTGCTTACTTAGATTAATTCGAAATCTGACGTCGCGAAAAAAAACCGCAGCAGGCTTTTGAACTCACAATGATCGCTCTTGTCTAGGTGGTATATCCTCTTGTCTTGTGTAGGTTTATCCGTCCCTTGTAGCATATTCAAACACATCAATTCAAATACTGGCCTTGTGGTGCTCGAAAACGAAAGTCGTGTTCACGGAGATCGTTGTATTTGTAAGTGTTGAACAAGTAATTATATTCGATCTAAGTCTCAAAAGATATCAAAACGGATCACGGCTTCGAAGATCAAAGTAAAGAGAACAAAGATCCTGATGAGGAGATCATGATCGATGACGCAGATGATGGTGTAGTTTATCCTAGTTTCGGCAACAATTTCAAGGCGAAACTTGAGTAGGTTCTTTTCTGGAAGTAGCACGGTTTCTCTACTCATAATTTTTTATCTTTTTTTTACATCACAGGGACTGGATATGTTGCTCCTTCTAGTCATGGATGACGGTGACTGAGATACTAGGTGTTATACAACTGTTAGAAGTACGCATACCTAATCATTGATTTGTTGCATCTACGGGAAAAATCCCTACTCCTGATTCTGAGAGCTCTAGTTTCATTTAACTACTGACAAGAACTTCTGACTTAGAACAGTGGTCTTGAACGAGCAACAATAAGAAGAAAAATGGCACCATCAGCATCAAAACCCGGAAGAAAGACCGTTCGGGTCTTCACACCAGGAGAAGTGCTGGCGACGGAGGTCTTTGGAGATTCAGCCGTTGACGAATCCTCTTATACCTGGCGAGATGGACAACGGATAGCGACGAAAATGTTGAAGATCGTGGTCACATCGAAAAGCAGTAAAAAGACGACTTGTAGTTCCAAGACGAGTGGCAAGATCATGAGTAAAACTGACGAAGAACCTTGTCTTGTAGAAGTGGGCGACATCGTTTTTGGCCGTGTACACCAAGTCCAGAATGACAGAGCAATGATACAGTTGCTAGCTAAAGAAGTAGCATCTTCTGTGGTTCTTCTGTCCGCAACCCCTCAAACGCGCCTCGCCACTCTCAAGAGGACCGATACGAGAAGCTTCAAACTCGATCAATCGAAAAAGCTTCAACTTGAGCAACAAAAGGCATCTTCATCATCTGCTTCTTCTTTAAAAGATGATGATACATCTTGCTCTTCCAGTAGAAGTACAACCCCAGCATCAATAATGTCAGGGTATAGTAGTTGTACCTCAGGAGCAACCGGGACGGCAACTACGACGTCAGCCATGTTCTACCGAATCAACGACATAGTCCGTGCCCATGTCATAGCTAAGACTGGGGATCACACAGTCCTATCAACTTTTCACCTCGAAGACGGCGTCGTGGCAGCTGCGGACCGCGGCTTAGAAGCTTTAAACCACGAATTGATGCACGACCGAGCGACGAAGAAGACGCAACTGCGCAAGGTCGCTTGTACACCAAGGTTAAAACGAAAGTTGCAAAAAGTTAAAAAATGAGAGAAAATGTGCAGGTGCACATACTTATTACGACTGATTAAGTACTATCAGAGCTGCTGCATGGTGCTTTGATGATGTAGAAGTAGAAGATTTTTTCGCAAAAATATAAATCAATGCGAAATATTTAATTTTCATCTGCAGCACTTCTTACAAGCCTTGAACTTTCACCAAACCCCAAGGTCTATCTGCTCTTGCCAGAGCAGGGTACTAATCTTCATTTCCATGTCCTCTTCTCCAAGATTTACCAGGCGATGGCGCTCCTTTAAGTTCTACTTGATGCTTGTTGACCGTGTGTTCAAAGAATCAACTAGCAAAGTTGCACTCGATCTAACTTTCCAAAGAACAAGATGAAGAATAAAGCCACCAAGGACAAGAATACCACAAAAACGAAGATGCCTCCTGCCGGGAGTGGGATGTGGGATCACAAGGAAGAAGGACGATCATTGTTTTACAGTTGTGATTCCCATTGCAGCTTTTTCAGGTGCTCTCTGGTCTCGAGTCGGGATCTTTTCTGTGTTAAAACTTTCTAATAGAAGAAAAACGAAGTTCTGTTGTCGTAATATTGTCAATAAAAAAGAATGGTGATGATGTCGGTTCTGTAATTATAAATTATGTCACTCCACCTTTGAGCCTGATTCTAAAAACCTGTTTTTCTGAGCCCACGTCAATTGGTATGATGCAGTAATAGGAGTCCACGGCGGCTCTCCTAGTCTTCGTAGGTCTAATTATATGAGTGTCTTTTTAGTGAACTTGCACTGGTATCCAAGAACATGTTTTCTTAATTTTGAGGATTCCGCCGAGTAGAAAAGACTTGGGTGCTGAGTTGTTTGTCAACTAAAAAGAATGGTGCGCCACGTTTTCGTACCCGTCATTGCTCTCGGCCGTCCAGCTTCGAGCTAGTTGAACACTTTTTCTTTGTTACCGTCGACTAACAAAACCAAGTCACGTGGAAGGAGTAGACAGACCTGATTGCACAACACAAAGCGAAAGCCTGAGTTTCCGTGGTGGACCGACGAGCCGAGATCCTGTTCACTTAAATTTAGAACTACATCACAAGCAAGTTCTCCCCTTGAAGGAAGAACAGAATGGCATCCTCATCGGACCCGACGCCTTCGACGTCGTCAACAGACGCCAGACCTGACGGTCAACAACAGACGGGGAGAGACTCACCCACAGCAGACGGGGAACAAGGAAAGAACAACACGAATCTTTCCACATCACCAACACCAGATGGGGGCAATGGTGCTAGTGCAAGCAGTACTACGACACCCTCTGGAGGTACATCTGGTGGTGACAACGATTCATCTACTATAGCACCTGATGTAGTGCCTCCACTACCGCCTGCTCCGACGATATCGGAGCTGAAAAAAGAAGGAAATGAACTAGTTAAAAGCAAGAAATTTGAGGAAGCAGTAGCGAAATATACTGAAGCAATAGCACTTGCAGTGAAATCGGAGCCAACGGACGGGATCTATTTGTTGTACATTATGGTGAACAAAACCAAAAACAGTAACAAAATTGATTAAACATAGCGCTGACCGATCAAAATCTACCTACTTACCCAGTTTTGATTAACCACGAACTAATTTTTTTTTTCGCGCTGGACCTGAATCACCAAGCAAAGATAATGTAATGCAAATGATTTCGTTTTCGCGCTCGCGCAAGGCTGTATGATCAAAAAAGGCGATCTCGCCCAATTATGAATCTCTCTTCATACCCCGTAACCGTGCGCAAGCATTGATCAACTGCAAGAAATTTGACGAGGCGATGGACGATGCGCAGAGGACCATAGTCCTAAAACCAACGTGGTTTAAAGGTTATTCTCACAAAGCGACGATTCTCCTGAAGAAGGAACAGTATGAAGATATCGCGGCAGTAGCAAGGGAGGGATTGAGACATGTGCGTGTCTATTTTATGTTGATTGCTAGCCTACTCAAAAGATCTCTTTATCAACGACCAGGACCACTGATTCTACCCCATGGACGATAAAAGAAACTTCTATTCACGAAGGTCATTACCATTTATTTTTAACATCCACCTCGCTCGTCGTAGTCCTGCGACCGAAAAATACCACAACCTCTTCCTACAACAGATCGAGAAAGATTCCGATGGGGATGTACTACGGCAAAATGCGGCATTAGCCAAGACGGCGCTGTTTGTCAAGAGTATAGCGGGTTCATGGATGGGTCGGGTCCATGACATTATGGGAGGTTACCGACAAACGCTCGACTTCTACCCCAACGGCCTCCTCAATGTGAAAATCATGCACCGAATGCAGCAGTGCCAGTATTCGGTACTTCCATAGGATTATGATTAGCTATACAGTGTTTCTGAAGCAAGTACCAAGTAGTTTGCTTATCAAGGTAAATCGAAGTTGCTGTGAATTTGGAATGTCACTTAGACTTATTCCTACCACTACCACTCACTTATTCCTACCACTTCCACTTATCTACCACTATGTACAACTTCCTCCTCCTACCACTTAAATCTACCACTCTACCTCTTCCACTTATCTACTCTACCACTACCACTTCCACTTATGTACAACTTACTTATTTCCAAAGAACTCTTTCCGTCCAGGTAAAAGTATTCTCTGCAGAAGGAGTATCAGCCGAAAGGGCCGAGGGGGTCTTCGTCATATCCTTTATCCTCCCGAACATAGACTCCAGGACGCCTTATTTAGCGCGTTACGTGCCTGCAGATGGAGATAGCCCGGAAAGTACTTTGCTTGATGAAGATTTTTGAGTTGTAGGTCAGATCTAGCTCCAGCTAAGTACCCTCATGGAGGTTTTTCTGTAACTCCTCCTAGTTGTACTTCCAATATTTGGAAAATCCAAACTACCACTATCCATTACATCCACCTCTCTACACGCACAGAACTCCTTCTCTGTTGCAATGCTGACGTAGTAAAGAGTACGGAAATCCCGGACCTCGCCGAATTCGAAAAAGGGTCAGACGCTGACGGCTTTTGTGAGATGACGAGAGCACCGGCAGTTAATAAAGACAGCTCCGCTGAACTCTCAATCAATGAGAGAGTTGAAAAGTAATCATCTCATGCTCGCTCCTCCACCTAGTAAATATTACTTCATTTATGTCTCACTTTCACTTGGTTGGCAGTACTAACTATACAGAACACACTAGACACAGTGTCGTGCTGAAATGATTATTTCACGGTATAACTTTAGCGCTAATTTACGTACTAGACTCACGTGGTTTTCTCTCGCTCAATATCAACACCATTCCGTCGTGTAATGAGTATTTCAGCACGCTGTCACGAATGCACAGAATCAGTAGATTATAGTACTGTCGTGTAATTATTATTTCACCACGGCACTACTCTTACTTTTCCAGGTTCGCAGAGCGTTACTACATACTTCTGCAAGATCCATCCTTAATGGAGTGGACCACTTACGATGAGGCCAGGCTATCCTCTGACCCAACTCTCGCTGCTCAGAGCATCAAACTCCAGTCGCACGTTTTCGAGTTAGAGGAAGAGTTTGGCGACCAAGTGGTGGATGCGTTCTTCTTACTAGTCTGCGACTTTGACGATGACAAGAGGAAACTAGGCTTGCCAGTGCACACGAGTGAAACAGCAAAGGCGAAAGTGGTGGCGGTGCGGGACATCTTGCAGAGCAAGGGGATGCTAGATATGCCTTCGCTGCAAGGTAAAAAACAAAAATATTTGGAACAGTTGCTGAAGAGTGAGGGGCTGCCACAGAATTATGGTTGGAAATAAACTCATACTCAATAATGTTACTGATCTTTGCTAGACTTACAGGATCAGCAGGCCCGCATGAGAAGGGTGATTTTCATTTCAGATCGGTTCCCTCCACTTTCAGTATAGGCCTCTTGATTATATAACGGACGCCTCCTTATCTTCTCTAATATCCGCCAACATCCGGAGCCGAAGGAGAGACCTCAGCAACCAGCAATCTACTACTAAACGACGAGGAAGGCCAATCGGATCGAGAGAAGATGGCCGGGGGTGCTAGCAGTGGTAACTCGTTGCCTTTCGCCTTATCTCGCACTGAGGCGATCGCAGCAGCCTCTGTTGTGTTGGTTGCGGGTGCTGCGCTGGTATGGGCCATGGCGAAGGGAACGACGAAGAACTTGACCTAGAAATGCTACTAACGTGAAATGGCGCCTGCTGTTTTGGTTCTTACTTCACTGCTCCCTCTTGATGCTGCTTGTCGAATACGTCCTTGCTTAATAAACATTTTCCATGTGCAGCTTACGAGATACACGCAGACCAGATCTTCATACGCTTCTTCTTGTCTCAACGAACATGACATAAAATTTTGTTCTTTCCAACTATATCCTAGTAATTTGGCAGAAGGGCTTTTCCGCCTTCTGTTTTCCCTTGAATTTTCCCTTTTTATTTATAGATGATTCGTTTCACGACCCAAAAGAGGCTTCTGCATACGACCCAAAAAAATTAGTGTTCTGCACCAAATCGGTTCGTATCATCATCACCAAATTGACCTAAAAGAGCGTGCTCGTTCCAACAAATCGGTTCGTATCGACCATCTTCTTGTCTCATGACATAAAATTTTGTTCTTTCCAACTATATCCTAGTAATTTGGCATCTGCAAGTGCAATCTATGTGCCGTATGTATCATCATCAGCGCGTTTTCGACGTAGTCGGTCATCTGCAATCTATGTCCCGTGTGCAGCACCAAGCAAGGAGAGATAAGAAGAGAAATGATGTCTCTGATATCACGCTCGGTCGCTTATCATCGGCACCAGAATGCTCGATGCGGTGCCGGATAATCCGAGGATTCCGATTCCTCTTACTCTCATCACTCCATATTTTCGAAAAATATTACAACTCAAAGGATTTTTACATGATGCATGATGGAATAACAATAAACAAGATCTTCTATCACTATCTCGTCCAAGAACAAGACGTCATGAAAAGCACCTCCATCAGCAGAAACAATGTCCAAAGAGATCCGTCAAGAGAATGGGACTAGCGCAAACGTCGCAGACGACGATGTGGAAGCCGTTCAAACGAGGCTGGATGCCACCTGGAGCCGTCTTGACAGGGGCTTGGACAACCTGCGGAGGAAATGGACGAATGATCATCCTGATCATCTCGATCTCCACAAAGGACAGGATGATAATGTCCAGATGAAAGAAAATGATTCTAGTGGCTCGCAACCACAACTACTGCTCTCAGCAAGAAGTTTAACACTCGAGCAACGCATTTTCAGCAACGTAGCGGAATATGTTGGGGTTGACGTTCTACGCGAGCACACTTTTCGCGAGTCGCCGAAACTGCAGGAGCAACATGATGTCGGTGACAGACTCCGGCTTTTACGCAAGCGTGCAGAACGACGTGGCCGACGGGTGGAGAGGATTCTGAAGAAAGGTGTTTGTGTGGATGCCGAGGTGAATGGAGATGTTGAAGAGAGTCAAACAAGTTCTGAAGAACATCTTCTTCGACAAGTACAACAAGAAGTTCTTGACCATGAGAAGAAGGACCCACCACCTGCTGAGAAACTTTCAGGTCCTCCATTGCACGACGAGACTAGTGCGCAGGTCACGAAACTGCCAACGACCCGACCACCCGTTTTCACTGAACCAGAAGACGAATGGTCCCTCGCACAAGCCACACCAGCAGAGGTGGAGTGTGCACGGACAAGACGCTACTTGGAGGAAAATTTGGCACAATTTCTAGGACATCGCAAGGAGAGGACGGTGACGAGTGGAAATCTGCAAGAACAGCAGCACCGAGGACCACAGCAGCCTCCTTGGAATCACGGTCCTACTCTCTTTTACTCATCTGGCAACGCGGAGGTGGCGGATGCAGGAGTAGATCATGACAAAATAGAAGCAGTGTCACCACCAGCACCAGGAGATGAGAATTCGTTGGTACCCAGTGCGACGGTCTCTCCCACGATTTCGTTTCCACCTATTTTGTCCTCGCCTGGTGGCGTTTCCACGACGGTTGCTGAAAGCCATACTGCAACTGCAATTGCTGGACAAGCTGAGACCAATACTGCTTCTAAAGTTGAACAGGTATCAGGAAAGAAGTTAGACGCGGCTCTTGCTGCACCACCACCACCACCTCCTCCTCCTTTCAACATCAAGAAAGAACTCGCAAATGCCAGGATCGAACTGCTAAGAATCCAAGAGCAGATGCGAGATGACGCCGAGGAAGTAAGTGAATTAGTCCAAAAATTGGTATGCCATCGCCAGCGAGTGTTTGCACCTTGGGGTAAGATTAGAGCGCAATTTTTGAAAGCGTGCTCTGCAAAAGAGATCGGTGAAGCTGGTGGTGGAGGTGGCGGTGCTGAAAGTACAACTACAGCTTTGGCGATCACTAGACGTCGTGGAACAATAAATAGCAAGGTAAAAAGAGTGCCATCTCTTTCCTTATCTCCGGAAAGAGGAGCTCCCGACGAGGATCCACAACCTAGCACTTTGGCCTCGTTCTTCACATTCGGGGGAATTGCAACATCAAATGATCAAAATGACGAAGGTCGAGAAAAAACCTTCAGACAACTTCTGCCAACAAGAACACCTTTAGAGACAATGCTACAAGCCGAGCTTCTCGCTGAAGAGTGTCATATTCGATCCGCTAGCCTGAAAGCACTAAGGATGCGTGGAGAGATCTACGGCAAGGGGATTGAGACGCTTACAGACACCCTCTTTCGTGCAGTCGAGGATTTGCATAAGAAAGAGGAATACAAAAGGAAATTGCCAAGTCGTGGTAGTAGCGGTTACAGGGCCGGGCATGATGATGGCGAAAAGCAAGACCAACAAGAAGTTGTGCACGAAGAACATGATGCTGGTACCTTCTTCAATTTTGGCGGAATGTTTGGACTAGGGAGTGCTGAGGATGAGGAAAACGATCACGTAGTGGAAATAGATTATCAGAAGCATCCACGTCCACCACTTCATATGAGAGAACTCGAGTTGGCGGTGGCGACGAAGATCAAAATTCCCACTCCGAAGAGTACTCATACAACGACTGGAACTTCGAAGTACTCGTTCGACCACGCCAGCGCCACGATATCCAGCATGCTACACTTGCGTTGTCGCGCTTTTACCGACTACGTCAAACTAACGCTCGCTGAGATCACAAAACTCCAAGAAAAACGTAGAACAACGTCAACTTGGATGTTCTACTTCCAAAATCAGCGTCCTGAATTGGCTAATACCACAATTCCTAGTGCTCCCGCTTTGGATTCTACACGCCAAGTGCAGAGAAAAGCCGAAGCAGTAGTGTCGAAGTGCCAGAGCGGTTTGGTTACCTTGTCGAGAGTGGAAGAAGCGGATGAGGAAGGTGATGGTGGAAAAGGGTTTAGGGTTGAAGAAGAAGACGATTTTAACATGGATTTTGGCAAAACGATGAAGGTTGTGATGAAAGAAGAAGACCGTGACCGCAAAATACAGCAACGCATCAAAAGACGTCTTGAGTCCAAGAATATTCAAGACCTATTGCGGACTGTTCTTACCACAAGCGAAAGTGTCCGGCGCCAGTGTCGTGAACTAGCAATAGCAGCTGCAGAAAACAAACGAAAGCGGGCTTTGAAGGAACACGAACAAGATCAAAATGGGTTGCAGCTAGTACAGGTAGTGAAGCTGGTAAACCAGGAGGAGCGGCAGCAAGTAGGTAAGAATATTGAAGATACAAACGACAGGGACAGGGATACCAGAACAACAACTCAGATGAATGATGAGGATGATGCCAAGGCAGAGGACGATGCAGATGATGACGACGATTTCCTAGAACCTCATCTTCAACCTATAATACGTTCTGCCCTTTCCTCTAGCCGACGTCGGCTTCATTACATGCTCCAAGTGCAAAGGCGCCACTTGCGGACGCTTGAGGTTCTGGCTAAAAGACATGCTCAGATGAAGGACAGGATGCGAAGAGACCAGCTCCGGGAACAAATTCTAACTTTACAAGATAGAGCAACGCAAGCAGAGGAAGAAAGAACAAGGATCCATGTAGAGATGGAAGAGCATCGTAATCAGGCGAAGGAAGAACGGGCTAGGATACAAAATGAGTTAGAGGCGGCGAAAACCAAGATTCAAGGAGAGCTAGAGCATGCGGATGAAGCACGGAGAAGGATCCAAGAGGAACTGGAGCAAGAAAAAGCGAGGGTCCATGCAGATTTGCAACATGCAGATGAGGAAAGGAGAAGGATACAAGCAGAATTAGAAGAGGAAAAAACAAGAATACACGCAGATCTGCATCATGCAGATGAGGAACGACGGAGAATACAAGCAGAACTAGAGGAAGACCGACAGAAGCGAGTGCAAACTAGCCAACGTGCTGGTGGAGAAAATCTTCTTGGCCATGAAGATCTTGCGCATATTGATAGTACTTCTGAGATGAGTCATGTTTCCTCTTCCCATCGATTGAGCTTTGCTGGCCATCATGCTCCCACAACAGAACAACATCAACTTGCTCCCGCCCCTTCTTCCTCGTCGAGTCACTCCCGCCCCTACCTTCTTCGACTAGCAAAACAAGTTTCTCGTGTCGTGGCGGCAATGCAGGAAGAGGGCGCTTTAGACGAGGTTAGTTTTCGACAGCTTTTGCTCCAAATCGATACGGAAAATCGCGACATTGTTCATGCTCTGATGGCATCAGATGGTGACGGGGAAGAACTACAAGGCCATGCTGGTGGATCTGAGACGCCGCGTGCTCTGCGTATCGAACCCGAGTTGGAAAATCTATCACGTGCTTCTCTGTTTGCTTCGCATTTCAAAGATGCTGATCCCGTGGTTAGACTCGAAGATCAACGAGTAGAGGATGAACAACTTGTTTACAACAGCGTGAACGGACCAGGACTCCTAGAAGGTGTAGAGGAGCAGGATCATGTTGAGGAAGTGAAACAGGATGAGCAAGCTGATGGTGCTGGCGAAGATGGTGAACATTATAACGATCTTCTTGATGGAGGAGCAATCGAGTACAACGGACCTGAAGGTGGAGATCATGAACCTCTAGATGGAGATGAGGGAGAACGACAGCATAAAGACGGACCACAGGAGATGAAAGGAGATGAACAGAAAGACACAGAAGAGGATCACGAGACGCATATTCACAATGACCTGCTTCTTCATATGAAAGCATCTGAGGAACATCTACGCCTTTTAACGGAACAGCTCAATGGCGAGTCACCATCGGCAGACACCCATCGCCGTGACAGCGATATGCAAGCTTTTCTAAAGTCGTGGAAATTTCAACATGGTGAACTAGATGAAGGCTCTTCTAAAGAACAGCATGAAATCGACGCTGCCCTTGCTGCCTGGCATGAGTTGATAAGTTCTCGCTACGATCGTCAGAACGCATTGATGATGGGAACAGGCGTGATGCTTCCGGAGGATGCATTCGAAGAACACAGTCCATACCTTTCCTCTGCTGGAAAACATAACAGGAGGAACTTACT